CTTGTTTGACCCAGCCTCATTTTTTTGCATTAAAACACGGGAACACCATGAAAAATGCAGCAAGGCATTACCTGGAATGTTTCATTTCATAAAGCTGGTGACAGTTAAAGAAAATCTGACTAAAAATATTTCTCACAAAAGATGCCCCCCCCCCCATTATGTCTTTGCATCTGGAGCATTCCTCTGCCTCATATGTTCCTTCTTTCAGGGTTTTTAACCTCAACGTATATTTCAATACTAATGTGCTTTTTCCCCCTTTTAAGTCACTATTTATCCTGCATCTTTTCAGAGATAAGCGCTTTTGCTTTGTTTTTGTTAAGGCATTTTATAGTGCGAACCTATGCCTGGCTACTCAGAAGCAAGCTGCATTTAGTTCAGTGGGATGAGCTTCCAGGCAAGTGTGTAAACGTTACTTGCCAGATTTACCAAGGCTTTGCGCTGTTTTGTAGTGGATGATACCTGCTGCCATTCTGTTGTGGTACGTATCTGAGAATATGCAAGATGTGTGCTGAGGAGAGGAAAAAAACTGGGGTCTCAAAGGTGCTCCCCCACCAGCTCAGAAGATAAGGTTTGGTGCACACATAATCCAAGGCACTTGCATCGCTTGATAGAAAAGCAAATGGCGAAGGTAAGATTTTTATGCCTCAGCTATAACCTGGGATTCAACATGCATTAGGTTACCGAGAAAGCTGGAATTTGATGAGCAGATGATCTACACACATCATTAGAGAAATGAACTTTTTTTTTTTTTTTACATTTATCAGCAAGCATTTCAGACATGAAGTTTACCTGATAAGAGAGGTCAGAATTCTGGAACAGGTCAGAATTCCCCATTCCCCCAGCACACTATGAGCATTATAATGTTCCATTGTACTTTCCCTGCCTGTGTGCCATATAGTGTGTGGTTTGAGACTGGAGCTCTTCAATCATAGGGACTTAACATAAGAGGTAGCCTTTGAGTTTTGCCTATTAATTTGCTTCAAGGGAGGTCCTGATGATCTGAATAACGGAATTTGCATTTTAGTGCCCAACTTTGTATGGGGGATAGTGATGGGCAAACCTGTCAATTTTGGTTTCTCATTTTTCTAATCTTAAAACCAATCCTCCACATTCCTACATCAATTTGTGAATTCTTTTTTGTTTAAGTCCTCATGAAAATTCACCTGCAAATGTCTCCTAATATGTTTGCATGTAATTTTGCCTAATACACACATATTTCCCCTAATATGATGCTTTTTAATATTATTTTTGCTAATACTTGCTTTTTATGCACACTTTGCCCTGGCACATGCATTTTTGTACACTTTTCTTGGCACTGTGAAATTCAGAAAACTTAAGAATTTAGAAGGGCGAATGTGTTTTAGCTCACATATTGTTTTGGACAGGGAAAATGTGAACTGCTGTGAAGTGAATCAAAACTCTCTCCTATCCCTGCTGAATTAGCCAGAATGGAATCTGGTATTCCAATGGAATTGGCTTTGGAAGGAGAGAGGGGAACAGAGAAAGCTCCATCTAATAGTCTTCAGTGCCCTTTTTCACTTCTGTCCTCAAGTCTGCATGCATTTTCTGAAATACTGTGCTACAAATTTAAGGCCACCCAATAAATTATGAAAAGAGTGAAATGACATTTGAGTAGCAACTCTTGAAAGCAGATTTAAGCAAGCATCTATCTGAACTGGTTTACGGTTGTGCTTAAGAGTAAGGGGACAAGTGATGAGCCTGTAACAATGTATTTCCAGTTCCAATTTTTATGGCTCAAACACTGGACAGATAGCAGAAAAACAGGAAATGGCATACGCACCCACCATTTCTAAAAATGAATAATTTCTGAAACATGAAAAATTAGAGAAAATGCTTTTCATTTTACTAAAACTCAGTAAAAATTGCACAGGTATTCGCTTCAGTTGCCCTGAAACTTGCTCATTAGGAAATACAGTGTGTATCTCATAGGGTTAATTTTTTGGTACCATTTGACAAGAAATGTATTTTGATAATCAAAAAAGTAACCACAGCAGAGGTTTTATATTAGAGAAGCATTTAACTTACGGAGCTCCTGAATGACTAAAACCATTGTTGTCACTGATATGAAACAAATGGAGCATACTAATCTTCTGTAAAGTGTGCAGAAATCACATTTCCTCTAGGTTCATTTGCAAAACCGGTTTATCATCAACACCTGTCTATTACTGTGCATTCACTTCTATACCACAAACTAATATTTTAAAAAAAAAAAATCAGTGTTGTGCAGAATCTCAATTAAAAGCAAAGCAACATAAATTAAGCAGAATATTTTAAAGACACAGAAACAAAAAATGAGTCATCTGACAATAAGGTTATAAAAATAATGCATCATTTTTATAAGAAGGCTCTCTTGTCTCGAGCTCATTGCAGGTGATTTCATTAAGGAGAGTGTTACATAAAACCTGTTTCACTATACTAAATGATTCCTTGTTGGTGACAGTCTGATGCTGCCAGGTGTCATCAAAATGTACCTTTGTGGCAAATTGAAGGATCAAAGTGCAGCATTAAAAATGGGGCTGCGTACACATGAACCTGCTTGCAACACAAAAATGTAGCTTTTCTCAATCTGGAATTGTTCGCACTCATTCTCAACATACCTGCTTTTAATCTAGGTTGATTCTAGATCAGGCTTCCTCAAACTTGGCCCTCCATATGTTTTTGGCCTACAACTCCCATGATCCCTAGCTAGAAGGACCAGTGGCCAGGGATGATGGGAATTGTAGTCTCAAAACATCTGGAGGGCCGAGTTTGAGGAAGCCTGTTCTAGATCCAGCCATCCACACAGGTGCTTGTGGTTGCTTGATACATATTTGAAAAACCTTCCTTTGATTAGGTGATGTCTTTTTCTTCTTGCACATGCCACAGGTGAACAAAGTTGGGACTGTGAGCTTGGAATATTCCCACATCACTGGGCAGGTGTGGGTACATCCACAATTGCTGGGACCGCCTAAACCTTCTAAGTGTAAAGAAATGATGTTTTAAAATGCCATGCCATATTATGCAAGCACTGGACTCAATATATCATTCTTCTCCTGTACAAGGATATGAGTGTGGCTGTATGTCCAGAAGAATAAGAACCTTCTTCCTTCTTTTTTTGTCCACTTCTTACGGATGTTCACATTGTGCATTCAACAAGTGTACAATCTGTGTATACAAATACTTGAGCTGTACATTTGTATGGCTATTCAAATGCAGTGTTCAATTACTGTGGAGTATGTGTGTGTGTGTGTACAAAATAGCTGAGCTGAACAAATCAGTAAGTGTACTCTCTTTCACACAAACACTTGTACACGTGTAGCTAGTGAGTTTTGAAATAAATCTCACTTTTGCATCTCTTCATAGCATTCTGAATGCCAGTTATTTTTTTAGGTAATTAAATGAAATGGAAAACTCTTCAAAGCCTTTAGTTCTCATGATCAGAATGGGTTCTAAATATTTTTCTTCTTCTCATTATTAAATCCTGATTTCTCAAAGATTTTTTTTTTAAGCCATATGCTTATTTCCTGGCAACGAACACTTCTGCCTATGCCTTGAATATATGGGTGTTTGCTTTGAAAGCTTTTAAGGGTGCAGGAAATTGTGCCTTTTGTTTACCCACATTTTTTCTATCCATTTGGACATTATTAAAAAATGTTCGTACATGCCTTCCCTCATAATGAACACTTTATCAGCTTTGGACATGGAAAAAGTAATCAGCCCTTTGTCATAACTTTTTGGCAGGGTGAGGTGGATGGGGGACGAGAAACAACAATCGGTGCAGAGGTAAGAGAAGAAATCTCGAACTTGCTGAAAGATTTATTGCGGCTGAAACAAACCAACTTTTCTTCCTGTTGGCGCTTATTACAGCTCTGACCAGAAAGCAGCTGCTTCCACTCCTGTTTTTTAAGGGCTGATCATGATGGTGACTGTTAAACAGAAATTTTACAAAAGCCACCAGGCATAACTTCGACCTTAATCTGTTTATCTACCATACCCTCGAAAGGCATGGAGCGGCAGCAGCAACCGCCTTGGCCGAGTCTCTTTGCCACGTACGGCAGCAGCGGCAGCAATTCCACACACTGCTGCCTATTGTTATTGTCAAGGCTGCCTCAAGTCTTAGCTCACAAAAGACCAACGCCTCTGTCTTCTTATATACCAAAGTGTTTATTGCAGTTCATGGTTTGCTTGACATCCTAGGCGCGCAGCCTTACGTCTCTTACGCTAGACCGCCGAAGTCCCCTCTGAGTCAGTTCCTCCCCTGCACCAATTTAAGAGACTTGCGCTGCTCCACCTCTTTCTCTCCTTCCTTTTCCGCAGGGTCCTTCTGCCCACTGGGGTTTCGCCTCTCCTGGATTCCTCTGACGCGGAATCCCCAGACTGCTCTTCCCCCCTCCTGCGGGCTTTGGGACCTGGCCCCTCCTCCGGGCTCCCTGCACTTCCGCGCGCCTCTACATTTGAACGAGGCGCGCGCGCCAAACCTCTAACTTTCCTTTGGACAGTTACACTACTCCCTTCTCTGCTCCTCCCCTTCCGGGAGGGCGGCTTGCTCTGACCCCCTCCTTTCTCTGCTGCTGGAGCTGCTTCCTCTGACACACTGGAAACTCCACCCCTTCGCTGCACTCTGGTGGGGAGGCTGGTCCTGACGCCCAGCTGCCACTTTGGGATCTTCCGCTGGCACCCTGCTCCTGACACTTCCCCCTGGGGCTCCCTGGCCTTGACCACCGGCGCCCCCCTTCTGGGAATACTCTGATTCGCTGGAAAGACTCATGGAATCTCTTGAGTCATTGTCATCCTCTTCCTCGCTGGCTTGGAATTCCTCCCCATCGCTCTCCATCTCCTGCCTACCCTGTGCCTCTCTCCCTGAACCCCTGACAGTTATATTTTACTAACCACTGCTGCATGGCGGGACATCTGACCTCCAGTTGAAAGTAAAAGGGAAAATCTGCCCAGCTACTCAATACATTTTACAAGACAGCTGTGTAAGAAGGCCAGAGTTAACCATGAATGGACAACTGGATTTGAGTGGAAAGCTTATAATTAAAGCTCAAATGGGTGATGATATTAGAAGAATTCCCATTCACAATGAGGACATCACCTATGACGAGTTAGTGCTGATGATGCAGAGAGTTTTCAGGGGAAAGCTTCTGAGCAATGATGAAGTTACAATAGAATACAAAGACGAAGATGGAGATCTTATAAAAATCTTTGATAGCTCAGATCTTTCTTTTGCAATTCAGTGCAGTAGGATACTGAAATTGACACTGTTTGTGAATGGGCAGCCTCTAGAATCTAATCAAGTGAAATACCTCCGTCAAGAGCTGATAGAACTTCGTAACAAAGTGAATCGTTTGCTGGATTGCCTAGACCCCCCAGCTGAACCAGGACTTTCCACAAGCCTCCCTGAAAATGATGTTGCAGAGAGTAGGGAAGATAAGCCTACTACTACTTACTCCACTGTCAAGCCTTCTACTCAAGTTATAGCAGCAAGTATGTCTGCTTTTGATCCATTAAAAAATCAAGATGAAATAAAAAAAAAGTCATGTCAGCATTTGGGCTGGCAGATGATCAGGTTTCGGGACCCCCCAGTGCCCCTGTAGAAGAACGTTCCGGAACACCCGATAGCATTGCTTCTTCATCTTCTGCAGCTCATCCACCTGGAGTTCAACCACAGCAGCCACCATATGGAGGAACTCAGCCACAAACTGGTCAGATGGAAGGCCAGATATATCCACAATATCCACAACAAGCTGGATACCCTGCTCAGCAGCCTCATCCTCAGCCACAGTATGGTATGCAGTATCCAGCAGGCTACAGCCAGCAGACTGCTCCTCAACAAGCACAGCAGTTCCACGCATACAGCCAGCAGCCCTCACAGGCTCCAGCTCCTGGGTTTCCTGGCCAGCCTCAACCTCAGCAGCTGCCAGCTCAGCCTCCCCAGCAGTATCAGGCAGGCACCTTTCCTGCACAGAACTACACAACACAAGCTTCACAGTTGGCCAGCTATAATGTGACCCCAGCTTCGCAACCTCGAATGGCTCCCAGCCCGCCAGGTGCTTATCAGCCAAGACCAGGCTTCACTCCACCACCTGGAACTACTATGACACCCCCTCCAAGTGGCCCTAATCCATATGCACGCAATCACCCTCCTTTTGGCCAGGGTTACACCCAGCCAGGTCCTGGCTATCGATAAGGAAGCTGTGCTGTTGACGGGCCTATGTTCTATGGTAGTTATTAGGAGAATAGGAACAGGGGATGCATTGATCAATTAATGTGTGTAAGACATGATCTTACATATGTCACTTTCATCACTCTTGCATGTCATTTTGCATATGTCATTTATTTCACACGTGCCATTTCTGGTTATATAACCATTTATTGCATGTGTCATTTTTATAGACTTTTCAATATGATGTATAATACATTATCTTGCATATATCACCCCACAAAGTTATTCTGAAAAATGTGCCTGGTTTTTATACTTTTCTTTTCAAGCACATCCCTATTCAGAGGGTTGTGTTCTGTTAACATTTCTCAGGTATCTCAATTACTACTTTTAGGGAACTTCACACCCTTGGACTCTGACATCTGGAATATCTATCCCTACCACCATGTACAACTCAAATAAGGTGCAATTCAGGAGGGGGAAATCCAAAGCCAAAGATCATTTTAATTTTTCTGCTACTGAAAGCTGAAAAACTGAAGGCTGTGTTTCTGTGTTTGTTTTGTGCAACCAAAATCCAATGTGGGGAATCCCCTCATGAGACAGATTCGTACAGCATAAACATCAAAGAACTTCCTCTGTGATTCAGTACATGGATTCTGTTTCCAGTGGAAAGAAGTATGCAGCCTTTTCTTAATTATTTATCTTCTAAGTTCCTCTATGCTAATCTGCCACAAAATTATAATAATAAATACCCTTGAAGGTCTTATCATCTGAACCACTGGCTAGCGCAAGGTTTCCCAAATGTAGGTCTCCAACTGTTTTTGCACTACAATTCCCATCATCCCTACTAGCTAGGGATGACAAGAGCTGGAGACCCAACAGCTGGAGAACAACAGCTGGAGACCCAAGTTTGGGAAACTCTGGGATAGAGCAAGGTGAATTTCTCACTCACCTAGATCTCTGGCTAATAACACATAGCTTCTGCTTGGGGGGGGGGGGGAGGAACCACCAGGAGTTGCATTCCCCTATTTTCCCCTCCACTACATCACAGCCTTTTGGGATGCAGGTGTTGCTGTGGTCTAAACCAGTAAGCCTCTTGGGCTTCCTAATCAGAAGGTCAGTGGTTCAAATCCGCATAATGGGGTGAGCTTCCGTTGCTCTGTCCCAGCTCCTGCCAACCTAGCAGTTTGGAAGCACGCCAGTGCAAGTAGATAAATAGGTAGCACTGTGGCGGGAAAATAAACGGCATTTCCATGCACTCTGGCTTCCATTGCACCAGAAGCAGCTTAGTCATGCTGGCCACATGACCTGGAAAGCTGTTTGTGGCCTGAAAGCAAGATGAGCGACACAACCCCATTGTCGCCTTTGACTCGACTTAACCGTCTAGAGGTCCTTCACCTTTTTTCCATGACAGCCTCTAACTCCATGATCATTTCAATTGCCCATAAAGATGCAACTGAACTGAGCTCAGAAGAACAGCTTCTTAGTGCCATGCTAGCCAAGTCTACTCAGTCTTGAGTCCCAAGTGGGTGGAGGACTGGAGCCTAAGAAGAAATGAAAAAGAGGAAAATTGTCCAGCAGCACCTGATAGACCAACTAAGTTTGTTCTGGTACAGCTTATACCAGAACAAACTTAGCTGGTCTATAAGGTGCTACTGGACAATTATTTATTTATTTTATTTCTATTTCGACTGCCTCAGACCAACACGGCTACCTACCTGAGTCTGAAAAGGAGAAGTCAGCCAGGCCCGCCCACCTCATTTTAGAAACCCAACGCAGGGGCGTGGCCCAGTCACCTGCACGCCTGCGCAGAGACTTGCTCCTTCCTTCAACTCACGCGCCCTCACCTCAGCGCCCGCGCTTTGAGGTCCTCCGCTTCTCCCAAGCTTTCCTCTTGCTTTACCTCAGGCCAGCTGGACTGGCGCCCACGTGGGGAGAGACTAGTGTATCCCGCCCAAGCGCTCTGTGGGCGCCTCGCCTGCCCGGCCCTCTCTCCTCACGCTGGGATTCCCCGCCCCACCCCGCCGCCGATTCCCTTGCCCCGCCGGGCTCCTCCCTCTGTCCCGTGCGCCTGGCTACGTGTCCCGTCCCGAGCGTGAGCGTGTTTGTGTGTGACAGCCGGGAGGTTTTTGCTCCTCGCTTGGAAACCTCGCTAATATTTAACGGGGCGCCGCCGCCGCCGCCGCTGCTGCTGCTGACGGAGAACTTTCCGGGAGCAAAGTCTTGCGCGCTTGAGGCGAAACCCTGCACTTCTAGCGCTTCCTCAGCAGCTGCTGTTTCGCCCCTCGTCCAGCTCCCGCAATGAAGGTGGGTAGAAAGCGAGCCGTGTGGCCCTGGCGGCAAGTTCGGCCGCTTCTCTGGCGCGCTGGGCGACGGGAACGCGCCTCGCCTCGGCCGCCTGACTAGGCTGTTCGTGGGCGAAGGCGGCTCGGGCGCGCCCGGAGTTTGGAGGCTGCCTCAGCCTCTCGCTCCATTCCGGGCGCCTCGTGTATCTACGCGCGCGCACTCACCCTCCCCCCTCCCTGGAGAGAGATGCTGGCTGACAGACGTACGGTCCTCGTTTTTCTTCCTCGCCAATGAAAGCGCAAGGTTTCCCGTGGTCGCTCCTGGGGCTGGGCTGCGGATTCAAGAGCGGAGCTTCGCACCGTGGCGGAAGTTGCTTGCCTTCCCATCTGGACTGATGCGATTTCAGTCGCGTAAAACACAAATAACCCCAAAAGTCTGCAGAGAGGGACTGTGGTGTTTATACTTCTGAAGTAAACACCAGGGGAAACTTTCTGAAAATAACAGCTGTTGGGACAGAGGTTGGGTGGCCATCTGTCATGGATGCTTTAGCTGAGATTCCTGCCTTGCAAGGACTAGAGATATGTGAAGACCTGGGGGAGGGGGGATGGAAGAGAATTTTTTGAATGGGGACAAGATATGCCCCCAAAACCCAAGTCAAAGAGCCTCCACTAGTTACAGTAGGGATGCAGTTCGAAAGCACACCAGTGCAAGTAGATAAATAGGTACTGCTGTGGCGGGAGGGTAAACGGCGTTTTCGTGCGCTCTGGTTTCCATCACGGTGTTCCAATGCACCAGAAGCGGTATAGTCATGCTGGCCACATTAATAAGTAATGGTAAATGTGAGCTAAAAAGCATTGCATCATATTCAGTGTGGTGCTGATGTGAATCAGCACAAAGATATTTCCTTTAAAAAGACACAGCCCTTTAAGAAGGCCCCATAAATGGTAGGCCAGTTGTGGGTTGGATTTGATGCATGGGCATCATTGTCTATGATTGCTATAGAAATATATGTGCTCTTTATGCACATTACATACTTCTTAACTTCCTTCTTTGTTTCTTCCCAGACCGTAGTGAAGTATCTGTTGGGATTTCTTGGTGTTGCAGTTCTCATTACGGCCATTGCTGTTCCTGTAGCTTTACTGACAAACCAAAGTAAGTTTGCAGTGTTAATTGTCTCTTGGTAGGTGATAGGAAGTGATTTGATCCTCCAAGCGGCATGGGAAACCATAAGAGAGATCAGAATGTATGTCATTTGGCATCATATGAATGTATAACTTGAAAGTTAATAGCACTGCTCATTAACATCTGGAGAGCATTCCTTCTGGCAGCCAACTAGGGCCAGATCTGTGTGTTTAAATGTAGATGTGACTTTTTAATGTATAAAGAAAGGGGATGCTTTTGATGGCCTCACCTGCAGCTTCCTTCCCTAAAATTCATGGCCCTGGGCTCTTCTCAACCTAAATCCGATCTTGCGCTCAGTTAGGAGCACTTGGAAAGAGCAGCTATGGTGGAGAGGGAGGGGATAGGTTACAGGCAACTCCCCATTTATGCGGGGGTTGCTTCACGAGGCACATGTGTATCAGTGGAAGCCATGTAAGCCCACTCCATTCCACCACTCCCCTTACACCCTTGTTCCGTTCCACCCCTGCCCCAAACCCCCTTCCAGTGCCAAAAGCGGCATGCACATCAGTGGTTGTGTGTGTGCTGAGTGTGTGCAAATGGGGAGCTGCCTGTGCAATTTGCACCATGGTTATGAATGATGGAGGCAAGTGGCATCCACTGGCAGAGGAAGAGGAGTACGGGGGGGGAGCGCACTGCCCCCAGAAGCGCGATCCTGGTGGGGTGCCATCATGGCTGCCCCCGGGACGCATGCCAGCCCCGCCCCCACCTGCTCTCCGCCCCTGGGTGACGGAACATGAAGCTCCGCCACTGGTGGCATCCTGTGAACTGATTTATTGTAGCCTAAACTTTCATATTCATATTTCATATTCATTGCAAAAACTAGACTCTTCTGTATGATGCTGCATGCTCTCTTTATTTTGTGATAGATTCAGTGGGCCATTCTTTTGGAAGCTACACATTGAGATTACATTTTCAAAAAGTACAAAGTAAAAAACAACAACCTTCCTTACAAATGAAAATTTCATTACTTTCTTGACAGTAAACTTGCTGGAATGTATGGCTTTGTACGTTTCTAGAATTTGTGGATCGAAGCAAGGCTGTAAAAAGGACAGAGACTATAGTTGGAGATAAATATTTTTTATGTTATAGAGATCAAGCAGAAAACGATGTATGTGTATGCTTATAAAGAATGTATAATTTTCTTTACCCTTTGTGCACATCGTAATAAATATATTTTACAGTGCAGTGCTGAACATGGAGATGAAAGGCAGTTGCAATTTGTAGCTGATTTAAGGAAGTTTCTACTTTGTAGATTCAGAGAGAACATTTATATAGATACATAATGTTTTACACACAGTAGCATTTGATGTTTTAAGAGCAATTACTTGATACATCTTTTAAACAATGTTTCCATATGAAAAAGTGAAGTGGAGTAAGACTATTATATGCTATGGTTTGCATAGTGGTCTTGGTGTGCAGACTACTAAACTTGTTCACATGGTTCCAGATGCTGGCTTTAGGTGTTGGAATTCTGCAATTGCAGGAACATGAACATTTCTCCTGTAACCTTTGACAGTTTCCACATTTTGGACAATGTCTATTTCAGTAAACTGGCTACAAATTTAATTACATATAATTTAAACAATTTTTTTTGGCAGCTAAAAATTATGACAGCTAATGAGTTGCTAGGAAGTTAATAGTGCTGTTAATTAACTCCTGGAAAGCATTCCTTCTGAAGGCCAAGCCGGTTGTGATTGTGCTAGATCCGGCTGCTCAAAACGAGCCCACTTGCACCCCAATCCTGTAAGAATGTGGGTGAGTGGTCCCCTTTCTGATAGCAAAAGGTACCAATATATGGCGGAATGGGAGTCCATCCTTTTTTGTAAGTCTGAATACTCAGATTTTTCCTTAACCATTCATTTGAACAAGCACTCATTAAAAGACCGATACACTGACATATAGTTGTGTTTTCAGCTGTGAGCAAGCCTCCATTGATGTGAATAGGGAACCCTAGCTGCTTCACTTAGCTGCTTGCAGATCTCTAGGCAACAAGCATGGTGTGTTGCAGTTTGCTGAGACGCTTTATAATATTCAGGGATGTTAAAAACAATTTTTAAATGTAAATTGCACATATTTTGAAAAACAACAACAAATAATATCCACTGAAGAGCAAGCAGGAGACAAAACAAAATAAGAATCGGGGGGGGGGCGGGGAATTAGTGGGCAAGCCAGACCAATCCAGATAACTTGGAACACATTTCCTTTCCAACCCTTGAACATTGGTCCAATGTTCCTGATTAAGTAAAGGTTAAAAATGCAGTTGTAATCTCAAACAAGCCTTAAGTAGGATCAAAGTCCAGTCTAATTATAGAGTCCTGTGTTTGGTACAGCTTTTCAGTTTAAATGTTTTACTCTGTTTTATAAGAAATTAAAGCACCAAGTACAAATGTTGCAAAGGAAAAAAAACATTGTCTTGCTAAAAGAAATAATCCTCTAGAAATACAGAGAGACACTTCCTCTAGGATAAATTTCAGACTTTACAGAGGGAGCTGTAGTCAATTGTGGCTTGAAGGCAAGTGCACTTAGAAGAATAAGATTTACTCTCCTGTAAGTATGGATAGGATTGTATCCTTAATCATGCAGAGTCGCAATGGGCAACTTCCTTTGTGTGGATGCATACTTGGGGCTCACAGGGACCATCAGTAAGTTAATTTCTCAGGGCGCACAGTGACTGATTCCAGTGGCTTTTCTGCTGTTTCTCTGTGTCTCTTGACTGCTAGTTGAGTTTGTTGCTGATTGTTTAATTTCTGCTGGATCTTATTATGTTAAACTATGATAAGTTTATCACATCCTGCAGCTGTGGTCTGCAGAAGTTTCAGGGTGGATATACTGCAGTGCTGGAGATGTGAAGGGCTTGTGGGGGTGGGGAATGAAATAATTGTGTGTGTACTGGGGAAGTTTTCCATCCCCCCCCCCCAGTTTGTCCCCCCCCCCCGGTCATCACTGCTCTAATAAGTGCATTCCCATAACTTTCTACTGAAATCCTGTAATGTTTTAAACCACAAATATTCCACTGTAGTGCAAGAGTGCTTCTCCAGTCAGTAGTAATGCTGGGGAAGCATCACATGACAACTAATAAAGCAGAATTATGTGTGGATGCTCTAGTATAAACCCACCACTAACACACTGTTATCACATCAGTAACATGTTACAGGGGCCCTGCTACCAGTCTTCATTGTGCATTCATTCCGTTTTGTTTGTGGGGAGGTTACACAACAATGAGCATTCATCCTGATTTGCTTACAGGTTTTGCTTATACATCCAGTATATTCCCGTTATTCATTCATTCCACACTTCATTGTGAATGTACACATCACTTTCTGAGAAGGATTGTGTCTGTTTATTTTTTAAAGTGGAATCTGAAGGCAGCCCTGTATAGGAAAGTTTTTAAAGGTTTAATGTTTTATTATGTGTAGATACGTGTGCGTGTGTGTGTGTGTGTGTGTGTGTTGGAAGCCCCCCAGAGTGGCTGGGGCAACCTAGTCAGATGGGCAGGATCTAAATAAAAAAAAGGTGGTTGTTGTGCTCCTAGGGTGATGGAGTGCTGTAATCCACTTTAATTGTGCAAACCTTAATTTCCTGGTGTATGCTTGGATCTTTTCTTGAAAATGCTGCCAATCTGGAGATGTGCTAGGCTTTGGGAAGATTAAGAACAGTCTCATGAAATGTGCTTCCTATCGAGGGAGGGTTATGATTTAGTGCAAGGGGAAGTAAGTTTAAGTTCATGGCCACGGAGACATGTATGTGCAAGCCTCACACTATGGTAATTGGTAATTATACCTTAATACTGTTTTGTAGATTTACAGCACCATAACTGCATGTAAGATTGCATGAATACCTGAAAAAGTGAAACATACTGAAGGAATATTAAGACTGTAATGTTTGGCCCACTTACCTGGTAGTTAGGCCCATTGAAATAACTTCAGAATAGACGTGCATAGGTTTTAACTATAAAAGACTCCAAATTGTATACTGATGATGTCAGTAATATGCTGCCCATCTGACCAGGTTACCCCAGCCGCTCTGGGTGGCTCCCAGCAAAATATTAAAAACACAATAAAACATCAAACATTAACAATTATATGTTCAGATATTGCTATTTTGTTAACAAATTGTTATTTGTCCTTTAATTGGTGTGCAGTTGCTGTTAGAAGACTTAGATGGTGCAGAGATACCTGGTGTTATATAATAATGTAACATGTTATTACGTTAAATTGAGATAACACGCTATCTACCTCACTATGGCAACCGTGACTTGTGATGGCTAACCAGAATTTCGGTTGCATCCTTTCCTAGCTCATTTACCTGAGATTCCTTACCTGACATTTGCAAAACCTGAACCTGGGAGCTTCTGTGTGCATATATTATGGAGCCTCACTGTGTGTGCCTCGCTCCCATATACGAAGTGCTGCTATATCAAGTCAGAAAAGTTTAGCTTTGCAGCTACCAACTCCAGCTGATGGCACCTCCACAAGGCAGGGGCCTTATGATAAAGCTCCACAAGGCAGGGGCCTTATGATAAAGCTATCATAAAAGGAACCTGAAATATGTTTTGGGAGTCACACTTCTGTGTTCACAGACAGTAGAGATAATACATTTCAGATGCTACTTGCTAGCCAGTTCTTGGTGCTCTGCTCAGATCAGCCTTCCTGTTTTCTGACTGTGCAGTGAATTGTTGACACGGCATTTAAAAAAATGGAAGAAAGCTATGAGTGCCAAATATGTACATTATGTAGAGTAGAACATTTACATCTTACAGTGCTTTAATGCTGTGTTTTGAATATACAGTTTTGTGTGAGGCATCTCCCACACCACTTCTCCTTATTTTTGGTATCAGTTCCTCACACAAATGTTCTTAATTTCCTGCAAAATGGGTGGGGCGGAAGAATGAAAAATGAGAGGGAAATAGTAATCAGCTGAATGCTAATACAAATTAGGCAATCAAAGGCATAGTACAGAGGCGCTCTGGTGCTCTCTTTCGCCCCTTAAACATCAGATTTTTGAGGTCAGTGTCCTGAACAGACTTGCTTAGGAATAAGTTTGCTTGTCAGTGAAATTTCTTAGCTATCCTTTACCACGAGGTCCCAGGGTGGGTTACAAACAATAAAACAGTTACAGCCACCAAACAAAGAAACTATAACAACAGTTAAAAACTCTTCCATAATTAAGAAAACAGCTTAAATACCGTATTTTTCGCTCCATAAGATGCACCAGACCACAAGACACACCTAGTTTTTGGAGGAGGAAAACAAGAAAAAAATATTCTGAATCTCAGAAGCCAGAACAGCAAGAGGGATCGCTGCGCAGTGAAAGCAGCAATCCCTCTTGCTGTTCTGGCTTCTGGGATAGCTGTGCAGCCTGCATTCGCTCCATAAGATGCACACACATTTCCCCTTACTTTTTAGGAGGGAAAAAGTGAGTTTTATAGAGCAAAAAATACGGTAGTTCCAATTCAGATGCAGACTGGAATAAGCTACATTAAACTGAGTAGACATTCGGATAATTGGGCAATTATCTTGCACCTTTAATAGTTGAATAAAAGAGGAAATTTCAGTTTGCAGCTGCTGAAATCTTCTCTTCTATACAAATGTTAAAGGTGCAAGAAGCCTGACCATTTGCACAAGACTACTCTATTTTCTTTACTTTACAGATTTTATTTACTTTACAGATCAGTGTCACAGATAAAATCCAGGAATCAATATCTCAGATAAAATTCAGAACTCAGGTATGCAATATGTGCATAAGCAGACTGGACTTCCCATAGTTCAAACCATGCTCATGGTGGCATACACACACGCGGAGAGAGAGAGCAATAACTATGTATGTTTGTGGTAGCCTGCAAAATATCAGCACAGAAACTAAACATAGTACCAGGCAACAAAACAAAGTGGCATAGGCTTAACTGTAAAAAGACAAACAAACCTCAATCTGGATGAAATGCCAACTTAAATATAAGATGCTAATTTTATATTTGCATCCCAGTTGAGTAGGAATATCACTGCAGCTCATGATGTATTGATTAAATTTAAGATGCCTTGTATTGTTTACCTGGTATTATAAGATCATTAAAAACTTAAAAGCTTGGTTGGCACTAGTTGTAGGCAGTGAAGAGCTGCTACCTGTTTATTCAAGTTGGAATTGGTGTTCTGATTTTCCGGTAAGCACCTGTGGAACATTCTTGTTTGGTTTTGGTAAGCATGTGAGTTGCTGGTTCTCTTGAGGGTGCTATCTACTATCAGAGAAGCTCAAGTAGGGATAGTGGTAGACTAAGAGAATGTGCTTGCTGCTTCGAGAGCCATGGAGGGTCCTGATTGCTGGGTGATCTGGTCACACAGTATTGCCACAACATAAGATGATGCTCTCTGTATGGGATGTATGTTTTCCTTTTCTCATGACCTACACAAGGAGAAAACTGAATATTTCTAGGCAACCCTTTTTCTTTTGCTATAATAATATCTGATGTAGGATGCTGCACTGCAAAGGTAGTTCTTTGTAATTCTTTCTGCTACTCTACACCTGGGGCAATATTATCTGCCCAATACCTAGTGGTACTTGTGTGATAGTATGTGCTGTATTAGAGACAAGGGGCAAAAAGCTGGTCATTGCAACCTCCCACTTTTAGCAGTTTAACTCTGTAAGCACAGCAGCTCATTTGTTTTACAGGTTGCAGAATGCAAGATCCTGAATAAGAATTGCCTGCTGTTTAACTCATTGTACACTTTAATTTAAAGTGCTGCTAGCGTGATGCATTTATCTACTCCAGCTTTTTGTTTACCATTTGTCAGGAAACTACTTCTAAAATATTGCTGGTTATGAGAAGGAATAAACACATGCAGTAAAATGTAGCTTTAGTACCGGTTGCATTTATCTTCTCTTTGCACCGTTCATCCTTACTTAGCATGTAAATATTGTGGTTATTGTAACATACTGCTTTATGGCAGTAATATGTTTGATATATTTCTTATACCTAATTGTTCACCCTTTTCAAAAAGACCTGATATATTAAAATAAAGTACAATGCACTACATACTAAAGCTCAATCTGCTTTCTTTTTTCTTTTTTTGCAAGTTGTTTGTTATGCATTTGGACACCTCTTAAGATATTGCAACCAAATTTTTCAGGATGGTTCCTTAGATCAGGGAGCAACTGCGGTCCCTCTTCTGCCCAGTACTTGGCTACAGCTAGAGGCTACTTTGAATCAGTATGGTGGACTGAACCTTTCAAATCTGCATTGACTTTAACCAAATTATGCATGATGGTTCTTGAGATCAAAGAGCAGGTTTTTGCCTGTGTTTGGAAACAACTGGACACCATTTGGAATCAAAATAGCAGACTGAACTTTTTCAAAACTGCACCAATTTATTTATTTATTTATTTTTGGTTTCTTGGAATTCCCAAGCAGCACTGAGTACAAGACTCTAGCCATCTATAATTAGCAGAGAGTGCCCAGCTCTGCTTGGGAATTAGTAGGAGAAAAAAGTAACTTGAATAATTTTTGAGTTTGGACCTAACATAGCAGACTGAAGCTTTCAAAACAGATTTCTTGGTTTCTTAGAGTTCTTAAGCAACACCATATATGATGTTGCTTGTTTTGAAATATCTCATTACTGGCATTACTCATTTGCTCATATTAAGTATAAAGTTTAATGGGAGCAGAATTTATATGAAAAATGGGTATAAACAGATTTGCATGTTTTTCTGCTGCGCTATATTTTTGTTCTTATCTTAGTCCAAAGTAGTTATAACCTTTAGTACTTCAAAACAGTGCTGTGCCACTCATCACATTTTTGCCTTTCTATCTAGAAATGTTAGGTGATTTTACTATTCTTGGAATAATTAATGAAGGAGAGGGAAGTTGAACCTATAGATTTTTCTTTGACTTTTTCAATAAGGCTTCTTTTTTGGTGGGGTTCAATCATGAGAGACCATAGTGATGGTACAAACCCCAAATCTCATATTGTCGTTGCAAGCATGATTGTAATCAAGGCATTTTATTTGCAAATGGTATATTCTGGGTTGGGCTACAAACAGATTCGCTTTTGATGATGACACCCAACACAAGCAATCTTGCCTTTTTCCTTTTATTGACAGGTTCTCCTGACACCCGCAGGACATTTACTCTACAAGATTATTTAAGTGGTGATTTTCAATACAAATCTTTCAACTTACAATGGATTTCAGGTAATGGGCATGTATTTCTTGTCTGCATTAGGGCTACTAATGATACGTGATACAAAGAAAAAAAAGTTGTTTGCAAAATATGTGCAAACACAGAGAAGGGGTACTGGGGCATCTTTTTAATTTCTGAATACATTAACTATGTATTCAGATACAATGTTATTATTGATGATAATAATACTTTTCATGTTTATACTGCCTTTACTCCAACAGGAGCCTAGCGTAGAGGACATCACAAAAATACTAACCGTGAGATTAAATAATTAAAAACATCTAAAAATATATAGCATCTAAAATAGAATTAAAACCAATGCTAGCTGATGACATTCCAATAAACATTCATGTATTAAATGCTTGGGCAAACAGGTAGTGTCTTTAAGTTAAGTTGAAGCAGCATCAGCCTGGGGGAACAAACACACTTCCCCAGGAAACAGGAAGTAGGCATGGAGAATTTGGTGCCCCATGAGTACTACTCATCACTGAGTCTTACTGAATGGCTTCCTATGTTTTCCCTTAGGAACACAGTATCTCCATACGGCAGAAAACAACCTTTTACTCTTCAATGCTGATGATGGAACAGAATCTGAAATATTGTCAAATGCCACCTTAGTAAGTTTTTATGAATACCACATACTTCTCCCATCAAAACAGCTACAGTCTGAGCATTTTTCTTTTATGTATTCATATATGTTTCTTTCTATTAATGCCTTTTTCTTTCGTCAACAGACCCAATACAATAGTTCAGAGATCATATTGTCCCCTGACCGAAAATTTGCTCTTTTGCGATACAGTTATGAGAAGGTACCAGTGACAACCTACTTTCTCTTTTGTTTCATCTCTTTCATATTACTAGAAAAATTCTAGGTTTTGTACAATATTGATTCACTTGGGCCTTTTGGTATATCAGGACTGGGGAAATGTTTTTAACACCAACATGCTATGGCCAGTTACTTTGCATTGCACACATCCTGCAGTGTAGTCCAGCATTTTTGGGAAAATGCAGATGGGAGGGATGTTTATTGTAGTAGCAACAAGAGGGTGACTAATTGCTTTCTTGTTCATTGGGAAAATAGGGAGATTCTTTGGGGTGGGTATATTTACTTCAAAAATACAAATCAATTTTGCTAAAAAGGGTGGGGGATAGTTGCTGATAATACAGCTGCAGCTATAAAGAGGTATAAATAATCGTTAAGCACGGGCAACTAAACCTTAGTTGCTAAAAAGCTTATTGTCTCTTTTGACCCACACCTCTAGACATCTACCTGTATGCTTGATTTTGCACTGAATGTCGCACTGCCATTTTAAGATTAACATATTACCAGCAATAACACAAAGGTCCCATGCCTATCTCTCCAGCTCCATGATAGGCAGGGGGTAGGGACTCATTCCTGTCAAGCTCATCTTCATAGTCTAGTAGCGTAAGGGGGTGGGGAACTACCAGCACAAGTCTTTAAATTGTACAGTCGTACCTTGGAAGTCGAACGGAATCCATTCTGGAAGTCCGTTCAACTTCCAAAGCATTTGACTTCCAAAGCGCAGCTTCTGATTGGTTGCAGGAAGCTCCTGTAGCCAATCAGAAGCTGCAGAAGCCCCGTTGGACATTCGGCTTTGGAAGAACATTCAAAAACCAGAACAGTCACTTCCAGGTTTCAGTCGTTCGGGAACCAAAATGTTCAAGAACTAGGCTATTTGAAAACCAAGGTACGACTGTACTCACAGAAGCAGTGACCAAAAATGTAAAGCTGCAGGATATATGAATAGGCAGATTAGGCAGTGGGGGAATAACCTAACACAATGTAAAAGTAGACAGTACGGAGCACTAAATATTGCAATTCTCTGGTATACAAAAATAGTTACAAGACCATTCTCATCGAATAATTTGCTGTGGAGTAAACTAAAGGGACGCAGGTGGCACTGTGGGTTAAACCACAGAGCCTAGGGCATGCCGATCAGAAGGTCGGCGGTTTGAATCCCCACGACGGGGTGAGCTCCCGTTGCTTGGTCCCTGCTCCTACCAACCTAGCAGTTCGAAAGTGCAAGTAGATAAATAGGTACCGCACCGGCGGGAAGGTAAATGGTGTTTCCGTGCACTGCTCTGGTTTGCCAGAAGCGGCTTAGTCATGCTGGCCACATGACCCAGAAGCTGTACACCGGCTCCCTCAGCCAATAAAACGAAATGAGCGCTGCAACCCCAGAGTCGTCCGCGACTGGACCTAATGGTCAGGGGTCCCTTTACCTTTAAACTAATGGGAAACAATATGACTGCTGCAGATAACGGGGCTGTGATGCAATCATGTCATATAATACAGGTAGATTTTATTAGTTAAAGTAAAAAAAATCACATTGGTTTAAATGGGAGATTTCCCGCATGAGAAACTGCAAATGTGCTTTGATGTCAAGTTTTCTATTTAGTGCTCTGGGAAGATCCACACCACACATTTAAAGCACATCCAATGCCTGCTTAAAACATCTGACTTCTCCGAATGAATCCTGGGAACCCCCCCCCCCCCCCGCTTTTAAGCTACAGCTTCCAGTAACCTTAAGAAACTATAGTTCCTGAGATTCATTGGGGAAGTCACGTTTTTTAAAGGGATGGTGCAGATCAGTCTTAGAACCTCTCTCGGTTTTGTGTGGGTTGGCCATGCCCAAGCACATAGTCCCATGGCTGTGAAGCCATTGGTGCTAGAGTGCTCTGACCACCCTATGAAAGCTTTGGGTTGTGTGGGCAAATACACTTCCAACCCTTAGATGAGAAACCTGTTCCAGCTTGAGAGCCACATTCCGGTGGTGCGAAGGGCCAGAGGCATAAGCAAGCAGAGAAATGAATGTAAAATGTTGTATTTGTGCAGTAGGCTAGCTTCAACACACACTCATGCATCCCTCCACCCTCCAGCCAGACAAGCAAGATACATGGTCAGAGTTCAAGAGCTCATCAAAGACAGGCAGACCACAGCACAAAGGGTGCAAAGCAGGGCTGGTGATAGGGTGTTGCCCTGGGGCAAGGCCTGGTCAGTGTTATGAGGGCCAGATAACGATCCCTGGAGGTCTGCATGCAGCCCCTGCCAGAGACTTTGGTTTTAAGATTATTAAATAAAATGTAGATAAGAAGAACATGATTAGGAAAAGTATTTTGAACGCCATCTTGGTGTGCCTTCCAGCTTGTCTTGGTGTTTTCCTTATGTGCAAACATTTCTCTTGCAGGTGTGGAGGCACTCATACAATGCGTCATACTACATCTATGATGTGTCTGCTGGGTCAGTACTACTACTACAACAACTGTGTTATCAAAGTGCTATTGTTACCCTACAAAGGGGTTTTTAGTTCATGCCAGGCTAGCCAGACTATAAGAGTATTAGTAGTATTATTAGTATTATGGTTGCTTTTTCCCTTTTTCTTTTACCCTTTGTGTTTTTCTTTTCTTGTAGTACTTTAGTACAGGTCAACCCAATTCCCGAGGACATCCAGTACGTATCCTGGGCACCTGTTGGTCACAAACTGGTTAGTGAAACACTTGTAGCCAAACCCATACCATAAAAGTTAAGTGGCAAAATTCCCATTGATTTTATTTAAAGGCTCAGGATTGCACCCAAGGGCCTTTGCATATTGGCAGTAAGGTTTTAAATATTTCAGGTCCACATGTTTCTTTAAAAATTAATTAATTAAAAAGGGTGCACATATCTATATTCTGTACATTAGTTACTTTTCTGAGAATGTTGTACGTTCTCTGCTGGATCTTGTCCTTGACAGCAGATTGTACAGATTAAGGGCATTTTCGTGATTTTTACTTCCTTTTCCATTTCAGGTTTTGAAGAATTAAGGTTTTTGGGGGGAGGGGAAAGAAAAGGACAGGGTGGGAGGGGGAGGTTAAGCCAGGGGAGAAGGAAATGACATGGTCATTGGTCAGTAACCATTGCAGGCCACACTAGCTTCATTCAGATATGCCTAAATTATACCGAAGTCAACAATGTTCATAAGTGTGATAGTAGTTTTCGTATTGTCACCATGTAGCCTAGACTATCAATTAGTTAAGCAGATGGCAGATTTGCATTTGAGCTGCATTCAGTTCCCTTGAATCATAACAGCTTAAGAGGAGCCTGCTGGATCAGGCCAAAGGCCCGTTTTGTCCAGTATCCTGTTCTCATAGTGGCCAACCAGGTGTGCCTTTGAAAAGCCCCAAAGCAGGACAATAACACTCTCCCCAGTTGTGAGTCCCAGCAACTGGAATTTGTAAGCATACAGTCTCTGACATTGTCCAGTAGCCACTGGCATCCTTATCCTCCGTGAAATTATCTAATCTTTATGAAAATGATTCAGGCACCTCCTTCTCTGAAAATGGAACTAATGGTGCTCATTAAACTGTTGAGCGGGGGAGAGTGTGGTTTGACCCTAAATGGCAGCTTATAAATATTTTTAATAAATCATTAGGTGGTGGGTGGAAAAAAACCAATCAGTGTGTCTACAAATGTGTCAAATGAAAGGGAAAAGAAGTCATTCGGTTGATATAAAGTGAAGAGCTATGCAGCTAGCGTGGTGATTTTTAAAAAATGTTTTTGTTTAATGGCAGGCTTATGTTTGGCGTAACAACATTTATGTGAAAACAGCACCAGATGCCCTCGCTGTGCAGATCACTAAAAATGGAGAAGAAAACAAAATTTTTAATGGAATACCAGACTGGGTTTATGAAGGTAATTGCCATATTACAACCTAAATGCAGAATTTATAAGAGGCAGTGACTGTATTCAGATGCAACCATGGTTGTCTATAATGAGAATAAGCTGCTGTGACCCTCAACCTCGTGTTCTCCCCACTCATCCTCACACAAGTGGAGGAGATCAGAAGCTTTAAAAAAAATTGTGGCAACGTATAGCATGCAGTAAAATAATCCCAGTCATGCTTTGGGGTCCTGGTTTGATTGCAAACTATAGTTTGCTACATTTCAGCGAAAGAGCAAACTATGGTTTGCCTGAGATTAGAAATGGAAACTTCTAATCTGCTTGCACATGTCTGTACTGCTTATCAGGAGGGGAATGGGGTGATTCAGCAGTGAGATCAGGACTGCACAGGTGCACCAAGAGAGCCCAATCACACAGCTGTGAATTTGCTACCCACTTCACCTTGCCCCCACTTCTCCAAATAAGTGGCAGTTCTGCTGCTGCTGCTGCTGCAAAAAGACTACTGCTGTGCTGCTGAGCAGGAAGGGAGAGAAGGAAGGACACTGTTGTGATCCTCCACACCATTGTTCAAAGTGTTATTTGAAATGAATCTTGCATGATCTACTGACATCCAGTGGTTCCGATGCATTCACCACATTTCATGTACATGGGGATTCCTCACTCACTACTGCCAGTAGTGATTTGGCACTCATGATTAGTCCCTTCAAGAAGCATCTTTAATTTACTAGCCCTTGTGATGCACCTTATGTTTGTATTTCACACACACGGGCAGGGGGGGGATAAGATAAAACAGTGCAAGCATTATCTTTGTTCCTATCCATCCTTTGGAGGTAGAAAATACTCAGTGAAAATCTGTTGTGCCCCCCACTTTTTTGGTGTTGGCAAATTCTGTTCCAAACGAATGTTGAGTTTAATTGCAAATTACATTTCTAAACATTTTGGGCAATCTTTACTCAGGCCTAAACTACAGATGTGGCTCTGTTTTTAAATACCTGTTAATTCTGTTCCATGATGCCTTTTTTGTTTTGCTGGCTTCTGAGATAAATATGACTGAGAAAGAAAAGTGTTGGTGGTAGAGGGGCTGCGGAGAAGTCACAGGTGGAAAAGAGATTTGAACACCATTTCTCCTGCACATCCCTTTAACTTTTTTAATAGAGCCATATATGTGATCCCATCTAATCCCAGGGGTCTTGCATTTTTACTATGCTGTTCATCTGAAAAGACTCCCAAGGCAAATTGCACGTGATCAGTGCACAAAAAATGGTCCCCTTTTTCAGGATTACAGTCTAAAAGACATAAAAGGGAAGAAGAAAAAAGCAAATTCAGGCACTACTTCTTAAAGGTTAAATATATTGATAATGTCTGGTATTTCCTTTACCTTTTAAAAATGTTTGGCTTGTAACTGGCACTAGAACTGTCTTCTTCTCATTTGACTGTGCCTTATTAGGAAGGATGCATGTGGAAATGTTACAGACTAGGAAAGAAACAATTGTCTTTGGTAAACTGTTTGGATTTTCAGTGTCAGAATAAATGATGATTTTGAGTGCTAGCATTTACGTTAATTATTGAAGCCAGATTTTTATAACACATTTATTTCTATAAAAAGGCATTTCTGAGGCTTTGGTTATTGTGTTGGTCGCAAGACAGGGCAAGGCATCTGAATGCTAGCAGCTACAGTTCCATCTGAAATTATATACAAATTAATAAGAACAATGTTTCAGAGGCAGAAGCCAACTCAGCTACTATTGCTTCAAAAGAACACATTTGCATCTCTTTCAGAGGAAATGTTTGGCACCCATTCTGCTCTGTGGTGGTCTCCAAATGGCAGCTTTTTAGCATATGCAGAGATTAACGATACTGGAGTTCCTGTTATTGAGTATTCATTTTATTCAGAAGATACACTGCAATATCCAAAGACCATTAAAATCCCGTATCCTAAGGTCTGTGTTATTTATTAAACATAGTTGTTGAGCATTTTGATTAAGAGAATACTCACATTTAATCAGTTGCTGCTAACGAAAATATTGTCTGTCTCTCCTCAACAGCTTGCTGTGATTACTGCGACTTAAGTCAATAGCATCTGGCAGCATTGAAGTATTTTATTATCACTAGGGAAACAGGAAATAAGTGCAATTTAAGACTTTGGAATTTAAGTTTCTGAAATGGCTTGTCTTGGGGTGGAGTAGGAATGTGATAAGAGCAGATCTTCATTGGCTGTTAGGTCTGTTACCTTCGGAAAATGCATTTGAATGGTCTTTAGAAAAGAGGGAGAGAGCTTCCTTTCTCCTCCTCAGGATTCTGGGGCACTCATCTTTTGCATTTAAAATAATTGGGGATATTGGAGATCTCTGTATTAACATGAAACTGGGCTTAGATCATCATATTGTCCTATTTACTACTCGGGATTGCATTCCTGAATGTGTTTGGCAATAAGTAGCTGGAGGCTCTTTTCTTTTCCAGTAAAATTGACTGTTATAGGGCATAAGCTACATGTTAGTTTGAATTGCATGTGTGGTTCCAATGATAATAGCATCCCCACAAGCCCCACAGAGCTGTTATTTCTCTCAAGAGAAAAAACTCAGAATAAATAAATGAATAAATAAAAATGTCTGGGGTAATATTTCCATGCCTCTTTTTTTGGAATGGAACAAAGCTTTAATGTTTTCTAAGATCAGAAGGAGATAAGAGAGACACATTCACCTGTAGTAATCTCAGAATTCTGTAAATCCGTAAGTTACCTGGCATATTTCTGAATACCATGCTATTCTGAATTCTAACATTTAAATGTTCAGCTGAAGAATAATTATTTTTAAGCTTACTGTGCTTTAATAAACAAGCATTGCTGTTATGTACAGATGTCATCATGATATAAAATGTATTAATTCTTTCAGGCAGGTGCGAAGAATCCAACCATAAGGCTATTTGTTGTGAATACCCAGTCTCTTCCACAGATCAGTTCTGATGAAATTGTTGCGCCGAGTAGCATATCATCTGGGTGAGTCCAAATTATGTAACAAGCCTTGTGTTTGAAACTGCTATAACAGTTTCCTTTTGTTGAGCAACAATATATAATAAAGCAGAACAGAGCACTGATTAAAGACAGCAACGTAAATATAGTAAAAACTATTTCTGGCAGAAGTTTGATATGTAAAAGTTGTCTTTTCAACATTTTTATAGTTCCATGTTATTTGTTAATATTATAGCAAGCTATTATTCTGTCGCAAGAGGTTTCCTATAAATAGTGATTTGCTATTGCTATAAGTGGAATTTCAGCTTATCTATTTCAACAAGCTGGAGTAAATCTGCACACAATTTTTTAATGGCTCTGTTTCGTGAAACACTTAAGCTGGCATATAAATGTGCAAGAAGGAAAGTATAACCCTTTTTAGCATCCTCTTTTGAATTGTGAGAATGTCAACAATCCTTGTTCAATGTTTTTAAACATTCAGCCTAAGACTAGGAGATACTGTTTTAAGAGTTGCAGCCCAATGTCAAGGGTCCATTGGCAATTAGAACTTCATTGCTGCTTCATCAGGAGGGGCGGGGAAGCAGGGATAACATAGTCAAAGCATTAGCAGAAATCCAGATGAAATGTAGCCAGTATTGCAATTGTGATAGTGCTTTAATGCTCAGATAAATACAAATGGTAGCTATGAGTTTTTAGAATTCAAGCTTGTGTACGTATATCAATAGATGCCTAGCACCATTTTATCCTTTCTAGGGACCACTACCTGAGTGTTGTAACATGGGTGACCAATGAGAGACTCTGTCTGCAGTGGCTCAAAAGAATTCAAAATTTTTCAGTTCTTGGAATCTGTGACTACACAAGTGGAGCATGGCAATGTCCACAGGTATGAAAGGGTAGGTTGGGTGTCAACTTTCCGAAAGAAGCCATTGGGAAAAGAAAATCCTGTAACTATTTACATTAGAGTAACGGAGGGGCAAGAAGGGTATTGCTTGATAGGCACCTGTTATAATGGCGGATATCTCCTTTCTCTTCCCCTTTCAGGACAAACAGCGTAACTTCGAGAGTAAAACTGGCTGGGTTGGCAGAGTAAGTACTATATTTCTGGGAGCCAAACTACATGCTACACTGCAGCCATGTGCAACGATATCTCCATGGGTCCTTTTCCATTGCAAAGCATAGTTAAGAAGGTGCTTTTTGCAATGAGGCAAAGGGAAAAGGGAAACTTTCCCCAGCTTTTTTGTCCCCTGGTGGAGTCTCAAGGCCCATATTTGTACCTTAAACATGGGTCCATAACACTAGTGGAGCTAATAGCAAATGAGAACATAGATGTTCCAGATGGAAGGACAACTTTGTCTGCTGCTGCTTCATGACATGCAGTTTAATTTTCAATTACACATTACATCTAAAAGAAGACTGGTCCATTCCACCTCCGCCCCCCAGGTGGAACACTAAATATTCTTTCCAAGTTTCTTCAAGATTTTCATTTTTTAAAAATCCTTCTTAAAGGTTTATGATTTGCATTGGTCTACAAGGACTTGAGGGACGCGGGTGGCGCTGTGGGTTAAACCACAGAGCCTAGGACTTGCTGATCAGAAGGTCGGAGGTTCGAATTCCCTGTGATGGGGTAAGCTCCCGTTGCTCGGTCCCTGCTAACTTAGCAGTTTGAAAGCACGTCAAAGTGCAAGTAGATAAATAGGTACTGCTCTGGCAGGAAGGTAAACGGTGTTTCTGTGCGCTGCTCTGGTTCGCCAGAAGCAGCTTAGTCCTGCTGGCCACATGACCCAGAAGCTGTATGCCGGTTCCCTCGACCAATAAAGTGAGATGAGCGCTGCAACCCCAGAGTTGGTCACGACTGGACCTAATGGTCAGTGGTCCCTTTACCTTTACAAGGACTGGAAGGTGTAGCTTAGAAGTAGGAAACGGGTGGTCCTCCAGATGCTGCTGGACTCCCAACCCTACAGATATCTCCTCAAATGTATTTCCAGTAGATTTAATGAGACTTACTCCCAGATAAGTATAAATGGGATTGCATCACTTTTTCTAACAGTGGAAAACAGAATAATAACCCTTCAGGTGCGCAGTTAGACAAGACCATTGGAAGACACCCATTCCACATAATTGAGACAACAACACTTTAAATGATATTGCCACTATTATTCTATCGTGAGGCCACATTTATGGCCTTATGTGCCCAACTTCTCTTTTTTGGGGGGGTGGGGTGGGGAGGGAATTGAGGCTGATAAGAGTACAAAATGCATGTGATATTTCAAGCTTTCCCATGCATATTTACAATTTTTAAATTCCTCTCGTCCCCTCCCCCCTGGCAAAAAAAAGAGCTTTCAAGAAACAAAGTGAGGAAGGAAACAGCAGGGATAAAAAAAAAATCTACCCTACAAAGATGGGAGATAATCCCACCTGCTGTCAAACTTGATCAGGGAGACCTTACAGCTAACACATTTTGCTTCTACATCGTAAAGTATCAGTAAGTAAAGTGATGAGCAGACTGCATATGTGGCGAACAGTTATGCAAAAGGAAGGTGGAAAAAAACGAGCGTGAGTGCAATATAAACTAGAAAGGAGGGAGGATAATTGATCCCCCCCCCCCATTGTTGGATAATGTCCTTCTGCACTCCAACTGACAGAATTTCATCAGCATAGCACAGCTACATTTCACTATGATATTTCAAAGGTTGCTTTCATGTCACAGGGGTGGGCAACTGTTTCTAGCTGGCAGAGCCGTCAACCCTTGCAAGACATTTCAAAATCAATGCACACTGGTAAAGGCAGAGCACTCAGCAGGCACCAGCTGACCAGTGGCACGTGCAAAGTTGCAACAGGGCTTTGCAGGTGCAGCCTATTGGCTAATTAGCAAGCCTTGCTTTCATTCATTCATTTAAAAAACCTTCAGTTATACAGATTCTCCACCAATGGCTTTGCATAATACCTTTGAATGTACAGCTATGGATAACAACAAGATTTATTACAGGAATGTTGTGGAGGCTGCTTAGAAATAATGGGAAACCATGTCGCTCCGGATCCCCGAAACCGGGTTTCCCCGCGAGTAGGGGAGGCGCAAAAGGTGCCTGCCGAATCCCACGTCCACAGGCTTCTCCCGCCTGTGGTTTTTGATGGGTCTCCACCTCGCCGTGGCGGTCCAGACCCTAATTTCCACGAAGCGGATTCCTCCCGATCAGAGGAAATCCGCCATTGCCGGAGGCGCGGTGCTTCGAATCGACTGCTCTTTTCACGGAGTAAAGCCGCATTGCTGTTGCCGGAGAGCGCTGACTTTTTCCTGTGGACAATTGGACTTTAAACAACTACCCGTGAGTAGAACGCAAAATTGGACTATGAAATATCTTAATTTGGCACTGAAGCGGGAAGGCTCTAAACAGGAAGTCCGCCTTCCGCTTTTGTAAATAGATTGAAGCAAAGACATTGCAAGCTAAAGTCTGGAAAGACTTTTGTAAAGAACTAAATTTCCATCGGCTGAATCTACTAAACCCCCCTTGGAAGCAGGAGAAGAGGGGGGAAATCTTAGATTGTTCAAGCCTGCAGGAGAGAGAGTAAAGAAAGATAAATTTCCACCGCCTTGAACCTGGGAACGGGTTGCTAGGAAGACAGACGTTTTGGGAAAGTCCATTGACTGTGAATAAAACGTTTGCTGATAGATAGTTAAAAAAGAGAAACATATTGATTCCAATGTTTCCTTTTGCATTTAAAAGGAACAAAATATTTGAAAAACGAAAGTAATTTTGTTGCTGGATCTGCTTTTAAAAGGACGGATACAAACAGAAATTGTTTCCCCTAGAGGGAGCTCTGAAAACTGTTGTTGGAGTCGATCTGGGGAATTCTCCAGCTGTAGAGATTAAAGATTGTGAGAACCAGACATTGATCTTGAACAAGAATGTGCCCAGAAGAAGCCTTAGTGATTGCTTTTTGCAAGACAAGCGCTTTATTGGAACAGCTACATGAGAAGATGGATTTGATGACTGTTCCAGTTAATAATTTTGGACAAACAGTGAATACCTATATAGAAACCACTCAGGAACCGACCCAGGAATCTGCTTTGACAGGGCAAGTTGTGCAGAAGACAAAGGAGGAGGTTGCTGTTGAACCTCAAGAAATACATGTGGAGAGAGCCGAGGCTTTGCAGGAACATAAGCTGTTGTTTTTGATGACCGAACCTGGAGAAAGTCAGATTTGGAGAGATGGAGTCTCATTTGGATTGGAGATGGGAAATTGGATAGATCCCCCTATGCAGGGCTGTTCTGGCTTCTGGGATCTGGTTTTGCGCCAGGGGGAGTCTGGAGTTGTGGGGGCCTTTAACTTTGGAGGGACTTTGAAACATGCCTTGAAATATCTTTTGGATTTTAGTGCTGACTATGGAGAATGGGCCGACCTGTCGAGAAGGGATAAAGACATTGTTAGGTTGGAGTCTCCCCAAGATCTACTCCTCAGCTATGAAACTATTTGGCTTTAGTAGAAATGCTATAAGGAGTTATGTACAAATAAGTTTTAAGCTTTAGGGCTTTTTATGGCAAGATAAGGTTAAAATAAATTAAGATAAATTATAGAACAAAAATTGAGAAAGATGGAAAGGATTTGCTGAAATAGCTAATTGAACAAGAATACAAAAAAGGGAGGTGTGAGGAGGTCGATGATACAAGTAAATGAAAGGTAGAGATATAGAGATATTGGATGTGTTTTTAAAATGTTTTTGCTTTTCTTGTTGTTTTGTTGTATTTTTTTTGTTTTTTCCTCTTTATTTTTGATGTATTGTGAACTTTTTACTGTTTCTTTCTTTTTTCTGTAACTATTAAACTTTTAATAAATATGTTTTTTAAAAAATAGAAATAATGGGAAACCTTGGACAGCTACGCCAATGAATATTTTCCTTAGAGCAAATAAGGGGAACTTCCAGATGTTGCTGGACTTGATCGGCTCCAGCCGGTAAAGTCAATAATTGGGGATGGTGGAAGCTGTCGTATGACAGCATCTGATTGGCTGCAGGTTCTGCATCCCTGCTTTAGAGCAATGGATCCAGGTTGCCAGACATGTTATTGAATGCCACTTGCTGCTGTATGGATCTGCTTTTGGAGCCTAGAAATGCAGCTGCCAACATTCTTTGGAATGTACATAACTTGCTTCTTAGGAGGACTATACCAAATGGTGGCACTGCATTCTGTTTGTTCAAGTCAAGGCACTTTATTTTCACTGATCCCACCTACCTTGTGGACTTCTCTTTACCATATCCTGCTCTGGAGCATCAGCATGTTCCTCAGCAGCAATTTTTCAGAGGGGAGGTGAGAAAATGCTGGCTTAAGCAGCTTACTAGCAGAGATCAGTAAAAACTTGGTTCCCTGACTTGCAAGAATTAAAGTTATTCCTACTGAGGTAAAGGCACACTGGATGCAACCTGGAGTGATTTTGGATAATAAAATACGTTAGCAAAGGGAAAGTTGTGTTTGCATTGATTTATGAATAGGGTCTTTTTGCTTTCATATTGAAAACAGGATGTTTTGCCATAGGAAAGATCTAGTCGTTTTATTGAACTAGCAATGAAACTTGCTGATGTTACTACTTTTAATATTTCATCCATTTGCATTCCTTTTTGTCACAGCACATTATAGACTAATATTTTGTCAATTTTAGCAGCGTGTGTGGACACAAATATTAGGTGCCAATTGTGTAATACAGTTAAATAAGCTCTCTGGTAGATGGGAGTGCACTGAAGTAATTCCTCTATTGATCACTTGTTTACCATAACTAAAGCAATTATCTCTAGTAGTTTTTGATAAATGATTCCTTATTAAATAATTTGTGCACACATGAACAATGCTATAGCCAGCAGACACTTTGGGAGCATTAAAATAAATAGAAGTCATAAACAGAAGTATAATTTGCCTGTTCAACTCAATGCAAGACAGTAATATTTATTTGCAATTACTCCCCTGCCAGGACAGCCTCCTTCATCTCGAACACAGCATTTCAATAAGATGATAAATCTAATTGCATAGGGCTCATTATGAAATATCTAGGGATAATATTGCTACCAGAATAGGTCTTGTTTGAGAGGGTGAAGCCAGATTATAAATCATAACTCACTTAAAATTTTAGCCATGATATATAAAGCCGTTTTTGTTCTGTTGACTCTTTAAGACACTAGCTATATTACCCCCCTTGAAGAATAAAAACAGATTCTTCCATCATGAACTGCAAAAATGTTGCGGTGTTTGCATTTTCCAGAAATCCTTGATCACTAGTCAATGAATAATAATAATAATAATTAATAATACTTTTATTATTCATTTCCCAGCCACTCTGGGCGGCTCCCAACAGAACACTAAAAACAGAATAAAACTTCAAACATTAAAAACTTTCCTAAACAGGGCTGCCTTCGGATGTATTCTGAACATCGCATAGTTGTTTATTTCCTTGACATCTGATGGGAGGGCATTCCACAGGGCAGGCACCAATACCAAGAAGGCCCTCTGCCTGATTCCCTGTAACCTCACTTCTCGCAGTGAGGGAACCACCAGAAGGCACTCGGAGCTGGACCTCAGCTTGAACGATGGGGGTGGAGACGCTCCTTCAGGTATACTGGGCCGAGGCTGTTTAGGGCTTTAAAGGTCAGCACCAACACTTAATTGTGTTCAGAAACGTACTGGGAGCCAATGTAGGTCTTTAATGAAGCTGAATATTTAAAGGATTCCCAAAGCTTATATTATTTATTGCTCCTTTTTTTTTAAAAAAAGAAAAGTGTCCCAAAGCAACTTGCAAAATGATATAAACATTAAAGACATTTTAAAAACAACAACAAAAAACCTTGTTTATTTACTGTAAACTTTTGGTTGTTGGTTTCCCCAGTTTCAACCTTCTGAGCCTTACTTTGCACCTGACGGTGATAGCTACTACAAAATCATCAGCAACGCAGATGGCTATAAGCATATCCACCACATTGATATCAATAGCACAGGGGTAAGTAACACATATATAAATAAATCATTGTGGATTTAGGTTCTTGTGTCATGTAATTCCATTTTTATCTACCCTTTTTATATGTTAGGAAATGAAGCCCATTACATCTGGAAATTGGGAAGTAATCAGCATAGCTGCTTTAACGAATAACTTCATGTGAGTATTCATCAAACTTAGTTTTAAGTTTAGTGGAGAAAGGGAGGGTAATGTTTAAAAAAGCCTGTTATGGTTTCTTAGTATTTGCTGTAGAGATGCCTCTTATTTAGAAGCAGAAATTGCCTCTGCATTTATTTATCTGCAACATTTGCATATAACAACATTGGCGGCTTTCAATGAAGAAGGTAACTACAAATACAAATAGCACATGAAATTATAAAACTAAAAGCAAAAATGGAACAAAAACCCACGGTACCCCTGAAGTTTACACAAAGATTTAAAAACTGGCCAACATCAGTTATTTTAAAAGGCCTGGATGGAAAGAAAAGTCTTAACTTTTTACTCCTCTGAGTTTAAAACTTCAAATATCAAAACAGTGGTTTTGTCCTGCAAAGTTAGTGAGAAAAGATGAAAAGTTCCTATGAGGAAGGGATACCAAGTAGTATAAGGATTTTGTGCAAGAATCCCTTCTCTAGCCTGTACCATCCTTTTTTTTAAAAAAAAACTTTTTTTTATTCAAAATTAAAACAAAACATATTATCCAGAAACATATCATCCTTATTTTTTTCCCCATTTTTCCTCCCTCCCACACAAAACCCACCCACCCCCACCCCCCAGCTTCACTCAGTTCCAGTCTAGATTTCTCTAAGAATGCTGTTTTCTGCAACTATTTAGCTGATTATCACCAATAAAAAAATTGTGAATGTTTATTCAAAGCCAGCCAAGGAGTCCAGTTCACTTTGTTGCATCTTCAAGTACTTTGTAAAGGGTTCCCATTCATTTTTAAAGTCACAGTTATCCTTGTCCCATAGCTTATATGTCAATTTTGCCAGTTCTGCATAGTCCATCAATTTAGCCTGTACCATCCAAACTAATTCTGCATGCCCCAAGTCTTCCCATTTGGATTAGCAGGAGTTATCTTGGAAACCAACTCAGGTGCCTAGCAGATTATGTCTGTCAGATAGGCTGAGCGTGGATGTCCCTTGATTTTTTTGTGTCGTTTCTAAGCCCTCCAGCCAGATGTAGCCAAAGTGAGGGACATGTTAAATTGCAATTGACTTAAGCACATTGATTTCAGTGAGGTTTAAGTACCACTAACCTTTATTGAATTTGGAACTTTTGTGTTGAATCAAGTTCATCTAAGCTTAGTATTATGCTGGATAGTGGATCACTGAATGTTACGGAGACCCAATGCTTAACACAGAATTTCTCTCTCTTTTGGAAGTGCCCTATTGGCTCACAGACTCCTTTCTCCATCCACTATTCTTCCCATGCAAAATTGCCCGCCCACCCCAGCTTCCATTTTTTATTTTATTATTTTTTTTAGCATTCACTACCGTTCAACTAGAAAGCTAGAAATAATACAACAGGCAAAGCCAATGAAGTGCAGTACTTTTTAAATTCCTAATGTGTTTCACTGATCAGCTTCTGGAGGAATTTGTTCAATACTATTCAGACGTGCATAAAAAAGATATGTCGAGTTGGACAAATTCCCCTGATGGAGATTAGTGAGTGCTGGAAATTACTTATTAAGTAAGTCGTGCAGTTTTGTTTTTGTTTTGTCTGCTGTATTCTTTATGGGATCTGGTGCAGTCCTTTCTTTTTTTCCAGGTTAGCATTACGTTAGCAATGATAAAAAGAAACTTTGCCAATGCAAGTTAGTCTTACAGCATTGCTATGGCAAGGTATTATATGTAGGTTGATTTTATAGCTGTCTTTTGTATCTGCTTTTGCATTTGAATAATTTCATATTTTGTGTGTAACCCCAGGCAATTTTAAAAATTGAAATGGTGATTTCACAATTTATTGATCAATCAGTTGGTAACTTGTTTGCTTGTTTCACAGATACTTTATCAGTAATGAATTTGAAAATACGCCAGGAGGAAGACATCTGTATAAGTAAGATTCCACTTCGCCACATTTTTATTGTAACCCAATATGATATTTTTTCTTTTAAGACAATATCATATTTTTAGTTTTTATAAGTTATTTTTAGCATTAAACCAAGATAGCTTGTTTTGTCTTGATATTTTTGAAGCTGTGATAATGATCTGAGAATGTTTTGAAGTTTACTCCATCTGCTCTACAGAACATGATAAGTTAAAGAGCTTGGGATATACACAGAAGGCTGTTAACGACCGAGGCCTGGTAATGCTCAGAATGGGGTATTTTATGATCCTTTGGTCTGGTCAGTCAGTGGGTTTGATCTAGAAATACCCCAAAAGTGGAAGATTTCATGCAACGTATACTTGATGCAACCATGGATCTTCAGACTTTATACAAGACTCTTTGCAATATTTTGTGTGAAGCTTTGTTGCACTAATGGAAAGCTTCTGCTGGATTTCAGTTCCCTTTTCTCATGGAACAATCTGACAGTACATCAGAAAAAAAGCCCACCCCATCACCTGTGCAAAGAGGCCTTCCACTCATGGAAGAGCACCTCTGAACACAACCCTATATTTCTGATCGCCAAATACGGTTCGTCTTTGGAATGTGTTCTATTATAAATGTAACAGCATATGGTGTCAAGATTTGATGGACTTTGCATAATGGGAAATTGCATGGCTGTTTTTGCTTCGTTTTGCTGGGTGTGTAGGATCTGAGTGATGAGGTTTAACACAACACAGTCACAGGTTAGCTAGCTAAATATGTGCTGTAATGAACTGCTAGCAGGTGGGTGCATGGCTATCTTAGAAATCCACATTTTCCATGTAGTAATGGAGCGATCTTCAATGGGAAGAAGGTTGCTGTAGCTCTCAAATGATTCATCAAAGGAATAAAAAGTATGTTTACTGTGATACAGATGGTACAACATGGAGGAACTTGGAACACCATGGAGACAGAAAGTTCTTCATGCAGCTGAAAATAATGTAGCAAACTTTGAAAGAAAAGCATGCAAAAAGCATGGAAAAACCCAAAATTATTCAATGTGATGGAAGCCAGCTAGCTTGCAGGGACCCACTCTTGGGCACCAGGAGGCAGTCTCCTTGTTTTCGTCTGGAGGAGGCAGCTCCTTACTGTAGGATCAAGGGCTGGGAACCAATCCTGGGAGATCCCCTGCCCACCATGGGTGTGAACCTTTCCTGCCCTGGATGTTGGACTTCCGGAAATAAATTCTTGCTCTTTTATGTATCCTTGTGGAGCCTGGGCTTTCTGTGTTTGGCATAGGTCTTCCTGTGCCTTTGCTGTCTCCTGATTGATAAGCAAGGAGAAGGACAATAATCTGCTGGCAAGGGAGGGGACAATTTGCATCTCAATCAAGGCACAGGGCAGAAAGGTTTAACCTTCTCAGCACATTTCAGCACTGTGTGTGTGTGTGTTTGCTGTAGCCCCGCAAATCAGTAGGTATTGGAAGGGGCATAAAAATTTGCTTTAGGGAACCAGATCCATCCCATGGAGATTAGCCACTCCTGTTATAATGGAACAGTTGTGCTACAGTAGTTAATTCTTACTTTAATATCCAGTTGAAAACAGGACAGGATAGAAAGAAGTGTTGCCAGTTGTGTAACCTTTTAAAATGAAATAGATTTAATCCAAGCCAATTTGGGTGGAGTTCTTCATAATTGCGATTTAATGAAACTAACTTCAAGTTAATCTGTTTTTATCTTTTTTTGCAGAATAGCATTAAATGATTTAAAAAAAACATGCATTAGCTGTTATCTAAACAAAGAAAGATGTCAGTATTATTCAGCATCCTTCAGCACAAATGCAAGATACTATACTCTGAATTGCTATGGTGAGTACAGCCTGCCCCATCTGATATAAGTGTGACTTGATACTTGGACCCTAGTGCTTATACCAGGTCTAGTCAATCCTACTATTACTTGCCAATCATAGAGGATGATGCTGCATATCCCTGTTCCCTCTAATTTCTGATTTTTGTTCCATATCCAAGCCTCAGATTATCAGACATAAGAGGGAATAGGGATATGCAACATCAACCTCTTTTCAGTCACTATATCCTCTGACACAGGGTCTAGTGCAGCATGAGGAGCTGCTTTTGCAGGGAGCATCCTTGGTTCATGTGCTGTCTGGATCATGGCCATAATTTCAAAAGCTTAGTGCAGGGACAGCCAACCTGGTGACCTCTCCAGATGTTGGTTGGTTACATTTCCCGTTAGTCTCTGCCAACATAGTCAATGGTCAGGGTTTATGGGGTTTGAAGTCTAGCTAAATCCAGAGGGCATCTCATTGGCTATCTGCATGTTACCTGCATTTGACTTTTGGCTGGGTTGACAAGTGTTTTTACGTTGTATTTTTATAGCTCTAGACACCCCTACAATGAATTATCTAGAGCGGGCGGGGGGGGGGGAGACACCAAAACATTTTTATCAGGCTTCCTCAACCTCGGCCCTCCAGATGATTTTGGCCTACAACTCCCATTATCCCTAGCTAGCAGGACCAGTGGTCAGGGATGATAGGAATTGTAGTCTCAAAACATCTGAAGGGCCGAGTTTGAGGAAGCCTGATTTATATTAATCATAATAAGAAAAAGCAAATTGGTTGTTCTTTAGCCTTAATAGAAGGAAGAAAAACATTCAACTAGACATATAGCAACAAAAAAAGGGCAGAGCTCTTGCACCTGTTTGACAGTAGAACAGACGTCCATGAGAAGTCATAGAATCACAGAATTGTAGAGTTGGAAGGGTTCAAAGGGGTCATCTAGTCCAACCCCCTTCAGTGCAGGAATCTTTTGCCCAATGTGGGGCTTGGATCCACAACCCTGAGATGAAGAGTCTCATGCTCTATCTACTGATCTGTCTGTGGGCTTGCCTTCCTTGGAGGTTTTCAAGCAGAAGTCGGATGGCCATCTGTCATGTATGATCTAGTTGAGATTCCTGCATTGCAGGGAGATGGGACTAGATTACTCTCAGGTTCCCTTCCAATGCAATGATTCTATGGTTCTATGAATTGTGTAGGAGCCTTATGAATTATTATTTTTTGCACCTGGTTACCCTAGCTCAGTTTTGTTATACTGATAAAATTGTCATGAATTTATTTAACTAGCTGTACAGTCTTACCCCCAACACACACCTCCACACATATTGTCAAAGCAAATGCTGCATATTTCCCAGGATTCAACCTACAACACATTTTGCTGGCTAATGTAATCCTAGGGCTGTAATCCTATGCATACTTCTTGGACATCATTTCTAAAAAAGTGCTGAGCAATGAGAAGAGCTACCCAGTGAAGTGTTGTTTCTTCTCCTGCTGCCTAGAATGAAAAAAAGAAAAAGAAAAAGATCGAGATACAAATTTTGGGAAGCAGAAAAAAGGCTGAAGGGAAATTGTTGCCTTGAAACTTCAGGCAGCAAGTCCTGGAAAAAGTATTGAGGCAAAGTTTCCCTCACTCTCTCTGTCTTTTCCCCCAGACTAGGCCCCTGCCTGAACAAAGGGTTTGACTTAAGTTGTGTGAAACTCTCAATTAATGCCTCGATTTAAAAAAATGGAAAATAACTTGAATTTTTAACACTGTTCATAACAGGTCCTGGTGTGCCATCTTTCACCTTGCTCAACAGCAGTACAGATGCAGGTACTTTTCTGTTTTTGTTTTAGACTTCTGCAAATGCATAGAAATCTGTGGATGTTTACCATCTGCTGGTAGAATGAGTTGGGCTGTAATCCTATGCATACTTCTCTGGGGTTAATCAAACATAATGGTCTTGCTTTTGAGTACAGAAGCGACAAACAAAGTCAGTGGGACCAGTAACATCGATTTGGAGGCAATCACTGCAGTCGATTAGATATAACAATACAGCAGTAGTGCATAAGAACGCATGTGCAACGCAGAGCCTGCTTGCATGGTGGGGTAGAGCTGCAATGCTAGCTTCCTGGTCATGGTGCCATAGCTGCTTACCCCAAACAGAACAGGGGGAGAGATGAGGCAATGTTGAGGCTGGGGCTCTGCAAGCACACAAGCCCACTGGCAGAGCCAGCCTGATTCTCCTGCCTGTGTGGCTGCATACTCCTTGCCTCTCCCTCTCTCCACCCTGGTAGGCAGTGGCAACACCACTGCCAAGAAGCCGGCATTGTAGCTCCACCCCACTGGGCAAGCTGCTTCTATTGAAATGGACTCATATTACAACATATCGGGAGCAGGCTCACATGGTAGTGGGGGAAACAAAGCTACTAACAGGGAACCTTTGCAGGGGTGGGTGTTGCAGGATGGGTGGGACCAGAGGCAAACGTGGGTGGAGCAATGGAGGTGACATGCATTCAGCCACACATAAATCAGATGTTTCTGCTCTCTCATGGATCTTTCCATTCTGCATTCAGGCAGGAAATAGTCATCATAACAGCAAGACACACTAGAGGCCAGGCAAAAGCACTTGGAGGACCTGAAGTCCTACAGCAGCAGTGAAGTCTGTGGCCTGGGGAGGAGGCATGGCGTAGGGAGAATCCCAGGGGCTGCACAGAGAGCTCCATAGGGCTACATATGGTACCAAGATCTGAGGTTCTCTAGCCCCTGATTTAATCCAATGCATATTGGTTTGGAAGTTTGTTGGGATTTTTTTCTCAAGGAACTCTCGTTAGGCCTGCATTCTTAGAGGTGTAAATCTAGTGATATAATATGATTTGGGGTGGGGTGGGGTCACAGGAGGAAGTGCCCAACTTGGCAACTTTCCTTTTTGATGGCCTATTGGTGGCATAATCAAAAGCCAAGGATTGGGAAAGGAAACTGGCAGAGTGATAAATCCCTTTTTAGTGTAGCTCATGTGAGGAACTCCTATGCATTTGGGTCCTGGAATGGACTGACTAAATAATATATATCACATACTGGCACAGAGACTAAATCTCTGATAGCAGTTAACAAAGTGGACAGGGAGAAGTGACCCGGGGGGAAATCCCTTTATATGTGAACCGGCAAGCTGGGATAGTTGCCAGTAAGGTTCCTATTTGTGAGTCTGTTCCTTAGATCTTGAATGCTCTAGGAATGGGTAAGGAATGGGATCGTATTGGTAAGAAGGCGTTCAGATCGCTCTTTTTGTTGCTATTTCCTCTGGCCCTGGTTCCGCAGACACACCTTATTGTACTGCTCTCCAGGTTGTAGAACTTTGGATTTAAAAAAGTATTATTTGTCTATATGTAAACTCATCTCCCATATTCATCTGTTTCGTGTGTAGTTATTAAGTACCTGGAAAACAACACTGAATTTGATAATATGCAGAAGAATGTCCAGATGCCCTCTAAAATACTAAAGAACATCACATTGCATGGAGAAAGTAAGTTACCAGTTGTAACCAGTTGTGGGGTTTTTTTGTTGTTGTTTTTACTTCTTCAGTTTTATCATGAAATAGATGTGCATTCAGAATTTTGGAGGTCCTGATTTTGCAATCAGTCACTTTTGCATTTAATGCTCAGTGCTGTTTTCTGAAGAGAAGGTGAAGCTGCATTTCCTCATTTGACGTGGAACTAGGATGGGAGTTTGAATTTAAAGCCAAATCTGTCAAATTTGTACTTTCTGAAGCAATATGAGAACCAAAACAGCCTTCCTTTGAAATTTGCACTTATCTGAATTTTGTGGTGAAGTCCTTCAACATTTACAAAAGTGCATATATTACGGTTGCATAAAAATGAATACGTTAGTGAAAACAACATAAAGACGTACATTATATTAACAACATTTGCTTGCAAAAATGTGTACGTTAGTCAAAATTGCATACAAAAATGTGTTGATTAGGAAAAATTCACAGTAAAATGTATGCTCAACTTTACCTTATCCTTCTTTATCTTACTGCTACCACCTCTCCAGGGTAGAAGCTAATGGGTAAGATAAATTTCTTTGGTTTCCTACACAGGTCCAGACATTTGAGCTCAGCATGTTTTCAGTTACAGTAACTTTCCAGTAGAAAGATAGCCAAGGATCCTATTTAGAGAAAAAACGTTGCTCTCTCCTAGATTTCAGACCACATAAAATTACTACAAAGGAGCATTTCTATGTTTCTGAACAAATAAATTGTTCTGCATTGCAAATGACTATTTTTATTTCCTTTGCTTAAAAAAGGGGGGGAGGTGACTGTTTCATCTGTCTTTATAACTGCTCCAACTATCCCACACACTCTAAAAATGCAGAGTTCAATTACATCTTGGCTATATAAAACAAAAAACTCTTATATCTTGAGTATATTTCCCCATACCCCCACCTCCACTGAAATCTCTTTAAAAAGTATTGTTTTTAATTTATACCAGAATTTATATCCTGCTATCACCTCCAGAAGGAGTCACACAGTGATGCTAACAAAACATAAAACAATGTTAAAAATAAAAACAACAGTAATCCCATCGTTTTAAGCAATTACCTCAAACAACCCAGGAATAAAAGCATTTTTAAAAAGGAGGGACCTTGAAGGGCAAAGCTGACAACAAATAAATTTATCAGCAGCCCAGTGCTGAATGGAAGTTTTTAGGTTGTTTTTGATGGCAATCCTACATCTACCAAGCCAAGCACATGACATTTGTCCAATCAAGGTGTATTTTGGTCACGTCTGAGCATACTAAGAATTTGTAAATGGCTTTGGCCTAGTATACCCGAAGGAGCATCTCTACCCCCATTGTTCAGCCCGGACACTGAGGTCCAGCTCTGAGGGCCTTCTGGCGGTTCCCTCATTGCTAGAAGCAAGGTTACAGGGAACCAGAGAGAGGGCCTTCTCAGTAGTGGTGCCCGCCCTGTGGAAGGACCTCCCATGAGATGTCAAGGAGATAAACAACTATCTGACTTTTAGAAGACATCTGAAGGCAGCCCTGTTTAGGGAAATTTTTAATGTTTGAAGTTTTATTCTGTTTTTAATGTTCTGTTGAAAGCCACCCAGAGTGGCTGGGGAATTATTATTATTATTATTATTATTATTATTATTATTATTATTATTACAATGCTTTTCAAGTTGTTATATCACCTAAGCATAACTTGAAGCTTATCTTCTTGTTACATGCCCAGTCATGATTTTCCAGGGTGGGGATGGGTTTGTGTTGTGACAGACAAAAACTTTCTCTATACAAACAGTCTCTTAGTCTGCACAAGATCCCTTTCTGCAACACCCATGCATAGTATCAATTCAGTAGCTTGCACAACTCCCCTCCCCCAAATTGAATTCAGTAAATTTACTTCTGAGTAGACATGGGTAGGACTGCAGCTTTAATATTCTTTTTGGGGTTTTTAAAATCAGGTTATTGTTTTTGGTTTGATTTAATATGTTGTGGTCTTGTTTGTGAGACCTCCGGGTATAGGGCGGTGTATAAATTTAATAAATAATAATAATGCTATTTAAAATATTTGTTAAATCAAACGGCACCTACTTCAAATGTTCTATTGAACATGTCCTGGGCTGTGATAGGTTTCCTTTCCCAATACAGTAAAATTCCAACCTTTTTCATAAGAAGGAAGAGTAATGCCAAAGACATCTACGCCTATGGAGATTATGCTACTTTTTCATTTTGGAAAATTTCAGACTTTCTATGGTCTGAGGAAAGATGCTAATGATTGCATAATTGTGTTGTGTAGCTGTCCCATAAAAATGTAGGTGAATGAATTACCCTTGATAACTTATTCGATATTGAAGACATTTCCATGCATGGAAATGGCTCTAATGATGAGGTTGCAGAATCTGTGGGCAGTATTACTTTTATGTAGAGTTGACCCACTGAAATTAAGGAACCTGACTTAGTCATGTTCAATACCACCCTGTGTGTTTACAGGTACCAAAGCATTGGTATAACATATCTTGGCTTAGTTTGACCTGTGTTACAGTTCTTGGAAGTATAAAAATATGAGAAGGCTAGATTTTTCTCATAGCCTTGTCAGGATTTTTAGGCATAGGGCTTTCACATAACTTTTGATGGATGTCCCTGTTTTAAAATGAAATACAAGTGAAGAACAGTGCTGTAGTAGTTTAGAACACTATGATTCCCCTCTAACAGAAGAAATGTTAGGGCATTGTCACACAAAATTGGAAAGTCACTGCCAAATTAATAGTTTGCTCACTCTGTAGTATTTAAGTACAAGTATGCGTTGTCCAAATGCTTATATCTAAGAATGTAGGCTTTTGCTTCAAGCCAGAATTGGAACTCACTCTAAACAAGACTACACTCTTTTGTATGAGTGTATCTTTCAGTTACTAGTTACTTGCCTCAGTGAAATGTTTTTATTCCTGTTTTCAGCATTCTGGTATCAGATGATCTTACCTCCTCACTTTGATTCGTCTTCATCAAAGAAATATCCTCTGCTTATTGATGTGTAAGTTGAAGTGCTTGGCCATATTATACTTTATTACTTGTCCAACTGGGTTCTGTATGAAGGTGAAACAAAACAGTAAATGTAATTGTCCTTATGATCATCAGCTTGACTTGATATGGTTCAGGGAGGTGAGGAGCCATTTAGTCAGGCCAGTGGAGTTGTTCTTGCTGCTGCCACTAGGTGAGATGGCTAATAAAAAGGTAAAGGACCCCGGACCATTAGGACCATTAGGTCCAGTCATGACCAACTCTGGGGTTGCGGCGCTCATCTCGCTTTATTGGCTGAGGGAGCCGGCGTACAGCTTCCAGGTCATGTGGCCAGCATGACTAAGCCGCTTCTGGCGAACCAGAGCAGTGCACGGAAACGCCATTTACCTTCCTGCCAGAGTGGTACCTATTTATCTACTTGCACTTTGACGTGCTTTCGAACTGCTAGGTTGGCAGGAGCAGGGACCAAGCAATGGGAGCTCACCCCATCACGGGGATTCGAACTGCCGACCTTCTGATCGGCAAGTCCTAGGCTCTGTGGTTTAACCCACAGTGCCAGTAGATGACTATTTAGGGAGAAGAGGAGCTAAATAGTTTACTAGCAACCCTTTCAAAGACTATCATATAAACATAAATGCCAATTTTGGCTTTTTAAATAACAACTACCCACCAAATTTTCATGTGGTCAAAGTGTCTTATTTCATGGTATCAATGACCTATGAAGCTTCATGGGATCCTTGCTACTAATATACTGCTACTCAAGGACAGCCAGATCAGCAGCAACAAGTGAAGCAATTGCCAGGAAGGCCTCTCAGTCGTCCCAAACTTAGGTGTATGGATGAAGAGAAACCAAGAGGGAATCCTTGGTTGATTTGAGAGTTCGCATTATTGCTTTATAAGCTTTTCATTTGTGCTGCTGCTAAGCAGTTTTTATGGCTGTTTCTTTCATCAAGATTGGGGAAATGCAGAAGAAAATGTTTTCTAAATAATCCGAAACAAAACCAAAAATGGGTTTTCCCCTTCAAACTACAGAAAAGAAATTCATCATGACTGGGAATGTTAAGGTGTGAGCTAAATCTTGTATATCCTTATGTATGTTGATAATATTTCTCTTGAAAACAGCATGCTCTACAGCAAGGGAAGAAATCTTGATCTACGTGCACTCAAATGTCTTTGTAATCAAATACCTAGTTGTTGCTGACGCAGGAAGAACTGTTATATGCCTTCCATCAGGCTATTGAGGCTCCTTCAGAGCTTCCACATCTTGGGGAAATGGTGGCTATCTTGCTTCCTGGATTTTAAATCTATTGGCAGAAGATGTTCTTTTCCCCCCTCCTTACCATGCAATCAATCAATAAATATGTGTCTAAATACTGTTGAACATGATCAGAACAAAATATTTGGTTGAGTTCCAAGCAATGAACTCCAGCCTTCCTACTCTTGGGAGAAGATTCCATCTCTCCCTGGTGTCTGCGTGACTGTCAGGCTTACAGATATTAGCATCACATTATTCTTCATGGAAAAAATTAAGGCAATGCAAACATTTGTAATGTGAATGAGCATTTTATCCAGTGTAGGTTTTGCATTATAAACCCCATAGCTGCCTCTATGAGACAAAAAAGAAAGAAAGATGCAAGGACTGTGTGAGCTTGCTGCTGTTTTTGCTAAGCTTGCCTTTTTGTCAGCAATATATAGTGCCTGCCAATAACAAAGAACAATGAGAAGTAGCCTCAGGTAAGTTCTTAAATGTGACATTCCTAGAAGGTGTTGATTTTCCATTGCACTCACTGCTACCATTAGGAAACAAAGTACACAGGAGGTGCTCATTAGCTTTGAGGACAAGAAGTCAGGATTGTGCTGAAAACAGCTGGTTTGTTATTTCTCTTGAGAAGTAGACCTGAGCTTATTAAAATCAATTGAAACATTCTTATTGACATCAAGATATGATCTCTAGGTCAAGCCACTGTGTGCAGTGGAAAAAACTCTTAACTAGAAAACAATTGCCAACTGATAGTTACTTTAAAAAAAGAATATGTGGACCAGGAAATTGTATTGTATGTTGCACAATTGGTTAAAAAAACAGTCTCCCATACTTACCCTGAAGCTGCAAAGGCAGTCAGAAAGGCACATTCACTGGATCTTGAACATATGTTCTTGGTTGCTTTCTTTCTCCACACATCTCTGCACATATTAATGTATTTGCATTAATTACCCTGCCTCTTCCAATTGTGGATTACAAAAAAATTGCTTTTCAAAGTACAATGATAGCAGAAATACCATATTTGCTGAGAATTGACTCTCTGAGGGAATATACATTAGTTGTAACTGGGTTTTCTATGATTCTATTGATTTGCATTTTTTAAAGCTTAATGGTGTTACATAATTATCACTGGAATTATTAATTATTTGCCTACTTAAAATTTCAATGTGCAGTAATGAGGAAGGCCTTTTGCTTTTAAAAAGTGGTTCTTGTTAAGTAATCTGAAGTCTGTTCTATAGTTTTTTAGGACAACATGTGGAAGGAATAAAGTGGCGTGATTTTTAGATGGCTGGCATGTTTTAATTGCAGAAACTTTGGAAAGGTGCATAAAAGCAGATCTAGAACTAGTTAGTACTACTTCAGTACAAGCAAGAATAGTTCTTCCATCTTCTTCTTCGGTGATCACTCATAGCCGAGTAAGATTGTCTTCCATGACCATGGTTTTAACAGTGAGTCCATAAGCGACTGTGGAGGCCAGTTCTGGATCCACATGTCCCTCCACAGTGGGGACATAGGTTTCTTGGTGGGAATTGAACACGGACAAACCAAGTAGTTCTTGAAATCTTAAATTCCAGTTGTATTTTCCTGTTTGTTTAGAAATTTAGTAATGCTGAAACAAATATAAAGCAGCTTGCGAAAGCTTACCTGTGACTCTTTTTACAGGTATGCAGGACCCTGTAGTCAGAAGGCAGATTATGCATACCGGATTAATTGGGCAACATACCTTGCAAGCACAGAGGAGATTATTGTGGCTAGTTTTGATGGCAGGGGAAGTGGCTATCGAGGAGACAAAATCATGCATGCAATATATCGAAGACTTGGAACCTATGAAGTTGAAGATCAGATTGACGCAGCCCGGTAAGCACACCTCAACCCTTTCCTTTTAATGCTGCATGTTTAAGTAATCTTGTTGTGGGAAAGTGACTTTTGTATTTACTTATTATGCTATGCTTTGTTAGTGTTTGTTTGAAATGCATTCCTGTTTCTTAGCTGTAAGCCGCTTTGAGCAAGATTTTGTTTGTGGGAAAGTGGCATAAAAATAAAAGTAATGAATGAAAGAGTGCAAATGTTAGCGAACAAGTAATACAGAAAATAAACTTGGGCAGTAAAGGATTTGTTCCATAGACATACATGCCAAAACTTAAAATTTGTTATGTTTGTAATTTATCTGGGAAGAAGGGGCAGTTGGGCTAAAAACTGCTAGAGAGCAACTGAGGGGCAGAATAAGTAGTGCTTTCTCTTGAGTCTCTGTGTACCTCATTTATTTATTTTCTGTCTTTTTCTTAGGGCATTTGCTAAATTAAGCTATGTTGATGAGAGCAGAATAGCTATTTGGGGCTGGGTAAGTATTAAAGTTAAACCTCTTTGTAATCACCAATTTAAATGATTAAAGAGATCCTAATGTAATTACGAAAAACATTTATATTTACCGGACCACACTTATCTTGAGAAATAGAAAGTTATTTATGGATGTTTTGAGGCAGCTATGCCCTAATAAGCATTAGCCTGGCGGCAAGTGTCCATTATTTCAACCATCATTACTTCAACCTTTCATTGAATATATTTATATGCCGCTTTTCATGAAATGTTACAAAGTGGAATACAAAAGGTGATGTAAAATACGTAATCACAAGCAGCTAATAAAAGAACTGTACTATTAGAAAAGTCAACTCATAAGGACACTGGCAATATTGGGGGGGGGGATATAATACTCCACCCCATCACCATTTTTATCCCATTCCTCCTCCAGAGGGAGCCTAGAGAAATCATAAACAAACATCAGCCATAAATATAACAAATGACAATTCTGCTAAAAATATTGGGTACCAAATGCCAGGAAGAATAAGAATGTTGTCAGATTTGTTTAGAAGATGTTAATGGAGAAGACAACCTCACTTTCACTAGGGATTGTGTGTGTGTGTGTGTGTGTGTGTGTGTGTGTGTGTAAAATCAGGGTATAAGAATAGCAACAACGGACTCTTCATGTGTTTTAAGCAATAGGATTTATTTTCTCCTAGTCATATGGCGGTTATGTGACCTCCATGGTGCTCGGCTCTGGAAGTGGTGTGTTCAAGTGTGGAATAGCTGTTGCTCCCGTGTCACGATGGCAGTTTTACGGTATGTTCTGTTTTGAAATAAAATGGATAATTCCTCTACAAAGCGTTGCAAAAATCATATTTGCAGCTGCTATATATATTCATAGGTATATTATCTTATTAAATTTGTATACTGCCCTTCATCCGAAGATTTTCACAACAGAAAAATTAAAAGTGCCATGAACTCGTGTGAGGGATTAACACAGTGTCTCTGGATCATAATTTCCATTAAAAAAGAATAAAAAAGCAACTTGGAAGTGGAAGAGGAAAATAATCTGCTTAACCTTTAAAAGGCACAAAATCACTTAATATTTGAAATTTTACTATAATGCAAATGTCTGCATTTGCATTCCTCAAAAGTGCCATGTGTTCCAAAGTGTTGCAGGATCATTTCTGAATGTCATAAAATTCATTGGCACTGCTACTAACTTACTTCTACTTACAGTGAGCTCTAAAAAGAGGGGTCATTATATTTAATCCTTGTCTGCTAGGAAATTTGTCACTGCTGATTTAATATGCTATTAGGGGCTGTTGTTTTTTAATTTAAAAAAATTATCTACCAAAGCAGAGTTGGGAAACTTAATGCCCTGTTGTACCTATGTCTTTAACTCTAGTGTTCAAATTATGGGATAGCCGAAGGGGTTCCATTTCCTTAGCTTTGGGTTTTTTGTTTCTTTTTAGAAATCTAAGGAAGAAGATTTGGCTAAATATGTTGGAAGATGGGGCTTGTGAGTTTTTTTAAGTGTTCCCTACCTTTCCCCTTAGGGACGCGGGTGGCGCTGTGGGTTAAACCACAGAGCCTAGGACTTGCTGATCAGAAGGTTGGCGGTTTGAATCCCCACCACGGAGTGAGCTCCCGTTGCTTAGTCCCTGCTCCTGCCAACCTAGCTGTTTGAAAGCACGTCAAAGTGCAAGTAGATAAATAGGTACCGCTCTGGCAGGAAGGTAAACGGCATTTCCGTGCGCTGCTCTGGTTCGCCAGAAGCGGCTTAGTCATGCTGGCCACATGACCCGGAAGCTGTACGCCGGCTCCCTCGGCCAGTAAAGCGAGATGAGCGCTGCAACCCCAGAGTCGGTCACGACTGGACCTAATGGTCAGGGGTCCCTTTACCTTTACCTTTAAGGATAGGGCAGAGTGGTGGCAACACCATCCCAGGTGACAGAATGTCAGAAAGCTGCTAATGTATTTGTTTGATCCTTCAAAGCATTGAGTCAGAGGAGCTCAGGGTTGGTAGCAGTGGTGTGCACCAACCCAGAGCTCCCCTGATCATTGGAGGGCACCTCAATGCACCACTGCTGTATAGAGTAGCATTTACTACTAGGTGGGTGGGGGCAAATTCAACCCGCAAACATTCTAGGACACTTCATTACTGATCTAATTGCATGTGCTTACACAGTGCAATCAGGGTAGCGTTGGTTGAAATTTCTGAAGTAGGAATACTGCAAATGCGGTATTGTGTTTGTGCAGACCAGAGACGGTCAATCTTTTTGAAAATAAAATTGAAAGAAAGGTTTGACCTCCTGAGGTGTGATCGCGCACACCTTTCTTTGCCCTTCTGCTGCCTCTGTCAAAAAAGATTTTCCAGGTTTTTGAAACAATACCAAAACCTGTTCAGCAGGTGTGAAAAGCAGCATGACTGAACACGCAACAATTCACTCCTTCGAATTGCCCACAATTGTGTCCACCTGTTGGAATTTACTGAAACTAGAGAACTTCCCCACTTCTAAATAAGACACATCTGGCAAATGTGGTGTAGGGTAGAGGTGACCTGTGTCTCTGCCCTTAAGGAAAAGGCCAGAGTAGGGGGAGCTAGCAGCATGGTAGCAGGGTGGAGTGAAGGGTCCGATATAACTCTGGCTATTAGTAAGCTTCAGCGTATGAAGACTTGACAGGGAACATTTGTAGGGTAAAAGCAGTGCTGTGCTGAAACCTGCCCTCCAAAGCTTTCCTGATCAGTAAAAGAGGCTTTCTGTTTTCCTTCTGTTTATTTGTTTTGCATGGGGTGCTTTAGGATTTCTATTTTATCATTGTGAGGTGACTGGATAGTGTGCATGTGTATTTATTCTTCTTACCACTGAACATTTTCCAGCTCTTCTGAAGCATTCCCAGTAGCCTATGAGCTCAAAAAAGCCCTAGGACAGGTGTTGCCTTATGCTGTCCCAGGTGTTTTCAACTGGGGACACTGGGGAGGGTGGCTACTGAACACCTGAGATCAATGTGCTCACTGATTTTAAGGGAAGCCTTTCATTTTAGCTTGCTAAAAGAGAGAAATCTTTCTGCAATGAATGGCAGTAGGCAAGTATCCCTGCCTTCTTTACTTATAGGAAAGTCCAGCTGAGGATGTCAGGAAGTTTTCAGGAAATGTGGGGAACTCAGGAAAGTTGCTGAGTGCAGGCTGCCATAGAGATGATTTGTAGAATGATAGAAAGGATGCTCATGAACAGCTCTCAACCACCTCAAAAGTAAGATATGTTCAACAAAAACTCCACCCCACCCATCAGAATTTCACTGAAATTTTATCTCCCATTTGATAATTTCTGGATATAAATTTGTTCCTTATGAATTAACAGGGAAAGTTCAGGGGGAGGGATGAAAGAGAATTTTTTGGCACATCCCTAGGTGAGATTGATCCCTTGCCTTTGCAAAAACCAACAACAACAAAAAACCCTTAAGTGACCATCTGCTACGTTTGTATAGACACTTAACTGTTCTGTTTGTTCTTGATTGCTACAATAGCCTGGGAAAGTGGAGGCCTCATCTTCTCCCAGTCATGAGGACAAAGTGGCAAAAGTAGAGGAAATGGCTTGTTATGAGCCTATGTATCAGGTTAGGAGGCCAGAAAGCAGAAGGGTTAACTGCCTATATATGATACATGACATCTCTCTTGTTCCCTCAGGTGAAGTTTTCTGACAAAAATGGAAATATATCAAGGCAATAAAATGTGCATGTTTAGTATGAATGAGTTGGGTTTGTGTAACTGGGTTAATAAGTTCATAAGAGCCTGGGAGGGCCAAAGGGTGCTGACTGTGAAAAAATAATAATGCTTTATCTGTTACATCTGGTAATCTTGCTGATTGGAAATTGGTGTCTACTGACATCTGATTTCCTGATCAGGGGTTACTCACTCAACTTGTTTCCATTTTCTTCTTCGGTTTATCTTGTCTGTTTCTTCTTTTCCTCCTTGACTTGCATGCTGTATGCCAAACTGCCCTTAAAATAATATCATTTTACAATATTTCTTTGCATTGTCTCCTCTCCCCCCCCCCCCAGATTCTATATATACTGAACGCTACATGGGCCTTCCTGAAAAAAGTGATAACCTGCCTTACTATGAGGTAAGCATGTAACCCCTAGTAAACCCTAGTCCTTCCCACCTCATGCAGCTACTAACCTCCCTTTTCACCTTCCCATCCCCATTTCTGAAGCCATTTCTCTCTCCTATTCTGCAGTCCCTCTTTCAGCCCTGTTTTAATCTTCACACCGTAACCTAGCACATAGAGCACCATCATGTTAACTGCCTGGATCTCTCCCCCCCCCCCAATTCTGAACCCATCCCTCCTGTTCTGCAACCCTCTTTATATTCCCATTTGTACCTCCAATTCCACTGAAGAGACAATCCGTTGTTTGTTTGTCTGTGAAAAAAACTTGAGGTTAGCTAAACCATGGCTTAGTGTTATGTGTGAAGCAGACCAACACTGGCATGTAGAGTTTAGTTCTCACCAAAGATTGAAAGTGAGAGATGTGGGGCAGAGCACAGGGATAGAAGGTGCTGCTAAACATTCACCCAAACGACTGTGTAAATCTGGTATCTGTCATGGTAAAACTGGTATCTGTCTTTATTAAAGGACTCATTATAGTACTAAAAACCATGAAGTAGAACAAATTACTGGGTGGCTTTGGGCAAGTTTTTCTCACACCCCCACACTGTGTCTGTATCACAGAGAGGTTAAGATAATGAAATAATCCTGCATACTCTGTCCTAATCTCATCTGGGTGCAAATGGGATGCTAATAAATACCAGGAGAGTAAATAGTATTAGGTGCAGACTGCACAAACTACAAGCCAGAACAAATTGTGCACAAATCTGGATATATCCACCTAAATGTATGTACTTGAGATCTCAAGTCTGATAGTCATAGGGGCCTTCCCCCCCCCTTTTGTCCTTTTTAGGAGATAAAATAACAAAAATGGTGGGGAATCCTTGATACAGTAAAATGAGTTTTGGACCTTTTTGCTGCCTCCCCTTCTGTCAGCTATCTCCGTGATTTATGGACTCTGTGTAAACTTCCTCATCCAAATAGTTTTGACGTATCACCACCTTCCTCCCTGCTCCCAACCCCAGTCCTTATTACTTTTCTATTTTGACTTCCTGTTTGCTGAACATCTTGGGGTTCTGTTCAGGCAGCCTGAGGGGTAGCAGATCCGCACGGCAATTTTGCAAATGAAAAGTCTCTTAACTTGCTACAGATTGAAATGTTAGTGCTCTGGGTGCACAATGTCACTCTGCAACTTCGCGGCACAGATGGCACCAGAGGACTGTATCATCCTTTTCTGCCAGGAGTCGAGTTTTCTTGGCGTGGCATCTATTGCTGGCAGTGTCCACGTTGAAACTGCCAGTACCAAAGAGCTAAAGGTTTCCAATGTGTTACTCAGAGGATTAAATTGGAGAGGCTGCAAACTAGGAGGAGGGAGGGGTACATATACTGATTTGACTGTTTCAGTGCACTTTGTTCAACTCATGTTACAAGAGTCAAGTGGGAGGGGGAAGGAGTCTTCTTGGCATAAGAAGTTAACTAGGGTGGATTTCTCTCTTCTCCTCCATGACCCCCAATATCTTTGTTCTACGATAACCATGTTTCCGCCTCCCTCTCCAACTAAGCAGGTCACCATGTTTAGGATTATATCCCTCCTCTATTAAAGAATTAAACATGGGGGTAAATTTGATTCAGTTCACATTTCACAGCTAATCTATCCAATTTGTGACAAGCAACCCAAAACATAGCTACCTTTTGAAATTTGCCCTTCCTTAAATTTTGCAATGTGGTTCTCCAGAGAAGTAATGAGTTCCAAAAATGCATATACTAGGGTAAAATGCATATACTAGGCATGAAAATGCATTTATTTGTGAAAATGGCAAACAAAAATACATTATATTAAGGGGAAACTGCTTTGGGGGAATAATGTGTGCATTGGGCAAAATGTGTGTATGAGGAGAACACAAAAATACTGATAAATTTTCACGAGGACTCACTCTCTCCACCCCCCCTCTATATATATGGCAGACCAATGCAGAGAATCAAATTTAAGAACAGAAAAATGAGAAGTGAAAACAAGATTGACTAGGGATGGGTGAATCTGTCAAACACGGTTTTTTAGGTGGCAGTTCCTTCTAAAAGCGATCAAGGAAGAGTCCAGTCAGATGGATTAATTGTAGCACAGTTAAACTTTAGTTGCTGCGGCTAACCATACTAGAGAGGCAAAAAAGAGGCACCTGGGATTAATTTACCTGACCATCTCATTTGCTCTTGGCTTTCCACAAGATTGATAGGATTCAGTGAAGAAGGGTGTGGTGTGGGGAAGTAGCAGTTCAGCAATGGCAAGGTACTGGGAGTGGAAATAGGATCTAGTCCTTGCATAGATGGACTAAAGAGTCAGGGCTCTTAATCCCCAGTTGTAAACTGCCAGGGAATGGGGCTGGACTGGATGCCAGTGCAAGAAACATCAGCAAGGCAAAAGTTTGACCTTTTTAAAAAATAAATAAATAAATAAAAGCCTGTGACAATGGCATACCAGTTCTCTTGGAACCTAAATTAACTGAGGAAGTGTGCTGTAGGGTGACAGTCTAGTCCAGGCACCCCCAACCTTTGGCCCTCCAGATGTTTTGGACTACAATTCCTATCATCCCTCACCACTGGTCCTGTTAGCTAGGGATCATGGAAGTTGTAGGCCAAAATATCTGGAGGGCCACAGGTTGGGGATGCCTGGTCTAGTCACATTTATTTTCATGTATTCTTTTTTTAAATCAAGCCACAGCATAAAATGTAAGACCTGTATAAGTGTTCAGAAGAGGAACAAAAGAACAAAAACCAAGGCATGCCAAATTTCAGTTTTGTATACAGTCATTCTTGAATTCAGAAAAGAAAATGGATCCAAGTGATAAGATTGTCTTTTATTCTTCCCACTGCTACTCCTAGCCCCAGCCCAACCTTCTCTTCAGTTATCAAACTAAACCAAACAAGTAGTAACTTGAAGCTGGTGCTGGTGAGGCAGTATCAGTGCCAGAAGAAGCTTAGTCAGTTTTGACTGTATGTGCCCTCACCTGGAGTTCCCCCCTCCATTAAGACAGTTTTGAGAGTAAATACACATTGGGCTGAACTAAACGAGTACAGTTTTAGGTTGTCTATTATAGACAGTGTTATAATGGTATGGTTCTTGTAATCTAATAGTTAGAGGCAGAATTGATTTCTGTGAAGGTGTCACTTTCCCTCTCAGCAACCAGCAGTAAACCACCTCTGTGTTGCTGTTAAATGGGTTCTCTGCTTAGATGAATACGCGAGGGCATCTTCAGGCAATCTTCCCTAACCTGGTTTCCTCCAGATGTTGGAACTACTACAAATACCATCATCCCTGTCCAGTGGTCAGGTTGGCTGCAGCTGATGGGAGTTGTCTAAAACACCTGGAGGGCACCAGGTTGGGAAGGAACGTAACAAGAGCCCCCTGCTGGATCAGGCCAAATGTCTGTCTACTCCAACACTGTTCCCAAAGTAGCCAACCAGCTGCCCATGGGAAGCCAGAGACCAGAACCCGAGTATAACAGCATCCTCCCTACCTGTGATAGTCAGCAACTGTTAGTGAGAGATGGAGGTAGAATATAGCCTAGAAGCCTGATCTGGGACCTGGTTCACACATGCATGTGCATTACTTGATTAACATGCACTTGATGCCTGGCCACTGAGTGTGTGAACTTCCATTGGAAGCCATTCTTGTTTTGAGAAGATGTAGGGTGTTGTGACAATTCTGTCTGTGGTGTGATTATCTGAGATGGCCTTTTTGCATGTGCAAGTCATAGCTTGATATGGCAGTTATCAGATGACAAAACATGTGTGAACCAGCCCTAGAAGAGCAGGCTTGCTGTTAATCTTAACAGGATGCTTACCCTCCTTAACGCACAAAAAACCGCACTTGTGCTGAAACACCAGCAGTAATAAGGCCTGATATTTTGTATGTATCCAGAGGCTTGCATGTGCCTAAGGAGGTTAATCCTAAATTGCAGCCCTGTCCACATTCAACAGCTTTGTAAAGGAGAGGAAGGTGATGAGAAAGGTCAGTTGCGGTGTTGTGCAAAAAAAGCAAGGAAGGACACCAAAAACAGTAAAAACTGTGTGCACCACCCCAGAAACAAGAGAATGCCTAAAGGAAACTGGACTGACATGTTAAGAGCCGGAGGGGAGGGGGAGACAAAGCTGATGATTTGGGGAGGGGAGGAGATGGTGATGTCATAGGCTACCAGGAGAGCGTGCACCAGGGGGGACTGTTAAACTTGTGAAAGAGGTTGTTTTGCAGCTCTCTCTGAATTTGAAATGCTGTTGGCAAGTATTTGAAGCAGTCATAGATTTGGCAATCTTCTGCTAGCAGATTTGAAATGTTCAGTCCTCAAGAACTGCTGCATCATTAGGTTATGCAAAACAGGGTACAATTTTGTAAATATGCCATCTTGTACTGATATGACATTTGTTCTATTATCCAAGAAATATGCCGAAGGGAGAGAGACCTTCAGATTCCAGCCAAATGTTAACTTGTTTGTTGAGTGCTGATAAAATGTTGACTGCTGTGTGATCTTTTCACAAAGCCAGTTCCCCTTGCAGTGGCCTTACAACTAAAGTGTAGCAAAGGGCAGCAGAGAATTTCTGCACTTGGGTTCATGCAAACTATATAACCATGCAACAAGATTTTTCCCTACAAAAGATTCTATTTCACTTGTATCCCTTGTAACTCTTGGTTGGGAGCAAGAGCAAGCAAGTTCCCTTCTTGTAACTATGGTGTAGTTTATTCCATAAACAAACACTGTGTTAAACTCCTCAGGTTCTGCTTAATGACTAACACCTGGGAATGGTGACTGAATTTTTGTGTTACTTGATTTTTGGGAGCTATCTATACAAGAGTTTGCTGACTGCCAAGAAGTGAGAAAAAACGAGGTCAGAGACTGAATAGTTGTTTGCATGTGTTTTTATTATTTTATTATTGTTATTTTGGCTTAGATGCTCTAGATTACTGCATCATTTCCCATCCAAAGCAATGATGCACAGCTTCACTAAGTCCACACAAGGGACCATCAGAGAACCATATGGGAAGGCAGTGCAAAAGCACCTGCGTAATACCTTTTTTTTTTGCAGAGATGCTCAGTGCAACATGAGAGAATGAATGATGTGCTTATGGCTGCAGCCTGCATTTCCCATTTCTGGAAAGAGGGCACATGCCACACTGAAGAGATGGTCAGCATACACTGCTTTGACATCACTGGCTTTTAGCTTTGGGGATAGATTCCCTATTTGCTCTTTCCCCTTTGACAAGGGGATTGGTGCCATCAAGCTCAGCAGGTGGATCACTGAAGATTCAGGTGTATGATTTCTAGTCCAACAGTAGATCCTAGAATAGGCTGTGACAAGTGAATTCAGGCACTTGGTGGCCCATTTTAATGCTAACAGCAGGTGTGGAGAGAATCTGCTGGAGGATGTGATATCTGATTTTTGTTTCTCATGCCATGTACCATTTCTTGCACAGTGGTATCTCTGGTTGCGGACAGGATCTGTTCTGGAGGTCCGGCCGGATCCCAAGGTTTTCGCAACCAGAGAGACCACTTCTGCGCACACACGCATAGCGGTAGAGTGCTTCTGCGTATGTGCAAATATACTTCCGGGTTTGCCGCTTACGTATCCCAAAGTTTACGTAACCAGAGGAATACATAAGCGGAGGTACCACTGTATGCAGGTCTGCATCAGGGCCACCCTACCGTTAGGCAAAGTGAGACAGCTGCCTCAGGTGGCAGATGTGGAGGGCCGGACATCAGCCCCCTGTTTTCCCCCTAGGAACTGTAAGCTAGCCTGCTGTCGCCAGGTGAAGATCCTGTGGAAGATACTGTCTCGGTACCATTGTTAAGACTCTGCTACTAGTCCTGTTGGATTCTATCCATGGAATGAGAGGGTGCCATCTTGCCCTTAGAAACACTCAAAAGCAGACTACAACTGAAACTTCTGGTTGTTTGTTTTAGAATTCCACAGTTATGGCAAGAGCTGAAGAGTTCCGAAAAGTTGAGTACCTCCTGATCCACGGAACAGCAGATGGTGAGCTGCTCTTAATTCAATTCATTATATATCATACATTTGTAGTTCTGCTCCTGACAAATCAGAAGCACAATGGGGCAGCATAATAATACAACCTTAAGGACAGTTCTGTTTGTGCATGTTTATTAGCGGGGCTGGAGAGCTGTGGTCCAGCTCTGGCCATTGGGTTCCCTGCTCTGTGGCTTAGCAGATGATATTTTGAATTTATCTGTGGTATTTTCTCTGTCATTCCCAGATAATGTTCACTTTCAACAATCAGCCCAGATTTCAAAAGCGCTGGTTGATGCACAGGTGGATTTCCAGGCAATGGTACGTGTTAAGCATTCCTAAGATGCTTGCTAGGCATACTGTTTGCATTCTAAACTACAGTGGTACCTCTGGTTATGAACGAATTCGTTCCAGAGGGCCGTTCTTAACCTGAAACCGTTCTTAACCTGAGGTACCACTTTAGCTCTGTTGTCATCCTGAGGTAAAGTTCTTAACCCGAGGTACTACTTCTGGGTTAGCGGAGTCTGTAACCCAAAGTGTTTGTAACCCGAGGTACCACTGTATGGGGCAGCCAAGAGAAAAGGCAACTTGTGTTTACAAAGCATGTATTGAACTACTCACCCTGAACTAAATTGGAATACATGGGGGCACCCATATTCTTCCCCACAATGGAATTTCCAAGAAACAACAATGCACCTTGATGTAGCATTATTAGGGCTCGCCTGAGATATTTTGCCGCTGTAGGCAAAATGCTCCAATGCCAGCCCTGCCCCCCCCCAGATCCAGGTCTCCTGCCCCCACTGTTGTACCCATGCTGCCGCTGGCCCCGCCACTGTAACTGTAGCATCACCTGCAGCTCTGCCTATGCTGCTGCCATAATGCAGTGGCGAGGATGCAGTGGCAAGGTGGGCCCTGGCAGCAGTGGAGGTGGGGAGGCAACGGATCTGCTGTCTGAAGCAAATGGCTTTGCTTTGTCTCATTGATAGGCCTCCCCTGAGCATTGTTCTCACAAAACGAGGAGGCAAGCTTTTTGTTGTTAAAAGGGGAAATTTTCGTTTGAATTCCCTTCCTCCATTACTGAGTGTTCCTAGCCAGCAGTTACTATTTCCAGGTAGCAGGAAGAAAACCCAATTTGACTTATGGGGACTTTTGTCCTCTTTCTTTCTTTCTTTCTTTCTTTCTTTCTTTGAGGAGGGAACCCGCTACTTTATTTTCAGTCTTCCAGCCTCCTGAGAGTGAGAACTGGCATATCCATTCACTCATAACCAATTAAACTAACTTTTCTTCAAAACATTATGCTAGAATAGTCATGTTAAAACCAACTGGGAAGTCAGATCTGCAAGAAAACAATGTAATCCACATCCTACGGAAGCCAGTGGCAAGGTGACCCATATCCTTAATAATGGGCACAATTTCGTTAAGTCAGACTGGATTTAAGCACGCTTAGCCCAGACACACAGGGCATTTGACCAACTTTAACATTTCAAGTAATTTCACTGTAACCTTGAAAGGAATTTTGCCATTTGGTTTCAGAACCAACATAAGCATCATCTCTGTTTATCCATCTGAAACTGGTAGCCTATTTTATGCCGTATTGTGAAATGTATTTTCTGCTCTGATCATAAGGCTCGGGGAGGGGGGAGGGGGTTTGGAAATAGAAGTAAGAGCAGCAGCATCAACAGAAACCTATTGCAGCGTTGCATAAATTGTGTTTCATACCATATCTTTCTCTCTCTCTCCAGTGGTATACAGATAAAGATCATGGCATTGGAGGATTGGCCCATAACCATATTTACACCCATATGACCCACTTCATCAAGCAGTGTTTTGCGCTGTCATAAGACTGGGAAGCCACTTTGCTTTGCTCACGCTGATCACCGGTTTGTGAAGTTATTTCTGGGGTAGGTGGGAAACAAGAGCCCTTTCCTCTTTGTCTTCCATTGAACTTAAGACAGTAAAATTTGATTTCTATGGATACTTGAATGAGATAATCATTTTTGCAATTCCTTTTTACCACAGTCCATTGAATATGAACAAAAGATCTGCAGGTCTCTTGTCACACAAGCAAGAGCTGACCTGACCTCCCCCCACTCCCTTCTCTGTGTCTCAATTAGTCAGTGAGGGGAGCAAGAGTTTCCCTTGTGCAAAGTTCAGGGCACAAGGCATGTGTGCCAGAACTGTTGGAAGTGCTGTAGTCTCATTTTCTTTTTAAGTGACTGTTGCTCTTTTGAATCAGATTAAATTGGATTTACACATTATTTCATTGCAATAGGAGAAGGGGGAGGGGAGGCAATACTTGAATTTCTGCTTGATTGTCATACACAGTAACTTTAGCATTAAATGATCATTCCAGCAGATAGGATTTAGGTTTTATACACTGAAAGTGAGAATACTTGTCTGAACCTGAGCTGCAAACCTTTGTGTAAACATTCTGTTGATTTGCAGCCAACTGTCAGGAAGGGCAGAAAGCAGATAAAATGTGGATCTGTTTTCAGGATCTCTCTGGTTTTTTTAAAGTTGATAATAGATGCTGGGGAAAGGGTTTTGAAATCCTTTAACTGCTCAGTTTCCCCAGTACTCCCCCCCCCAAGTTTCTGTTAACACCTTTAAAAGCCAAGGAAGTACTGTATTTTTCGCTCTATAGGATGCGCACTGGGCCATAGGACGCACCTTGTTTTAGAGGGGGAGAACAAGAAAAAAATTTTTTCCCCTCTTTGCTCAGCGCCCCTTCAGCGAAGCGGCAGGAGAAAAGGAGCCCCTTCCATTTCTCCTCCCGCTTGGCTGAAGGGGTGCTGTGCAGCTCTCACGTCTTCAGCAAAAGGAACCCGAAGCCTGCAGAGCGCAGCGGGAACTCGCGCTGTGCTCCGAAGGCTTCAGGCAGCTATCCCTGAAGCCTGGAGAGCGAGAGGGGTTGGTGCGCACCGACCCCTCTCGCTGTCCAGGCTTCAGCGAAAGCGGAAATGTGGAGCGTGGAGGGAGCACTCCATCTGCACTTCGGAGGCTTCGCGTTGCTATCGCTGAAGCCAAGGAGCCTGCATTTGCTCCATAGGACGCGCATACATTTCCCCTTAATTTTAGGAGGGGAAAAAGTGCGTCCTATAAGAGTGAAAAATACGGTATATACCCACAAGTAAATATAACAGGGTGTCTGTCTGTGTGTTTCACTAATGTCAAGACTGGGGTCAGTAATTTCAAAGCTGAAATATTTGATGGAAACTCAGAACTTTTAAGGCACACAAATAATCTAGAATAGCTCTAAAGCAAATTCTAGAATCAGCACCACCTCATGGTGCTTCTTCCAGAACTTTTTTTAATTTAAAAAAAACCCTCTTAGACATCTTGCCATACTAAGTAGTATATAAATTTATAAACTGCCATCATTTGGTAACAACCCTCTAAAAATGGAATTGTTGCCAGCTGCTCAGGCTGCCCCTCCTGCATTCAGACCCAGGAGTGGCTCACCTGTTCCTTACACCTCTTTTCTAGTGAATGAAGCCAGATCCCACAAGTTGGCAGTGGCAGAACACTTTTGAGAATCAGGAACAAGTGCTTATTTATAAAGAAGAGCTCCCATCCAATTGTTTTAAGTACCATCAGCATCATTTTTTCCAGAGGACCAACTCATTGCAACAAAAATGTGATCATACCTATATGTGCCTTAGATTTTGAAAACACGACTATGCAAATGATTTTACCAAGAGCAGTATTCTGGGTAGCAATCTTCTTGATAACAGCAGGGCTTGAGTTTTGTGAAACTTCATACCACTATTAGCCAATGTGCCATGGTTTTCCCCCATTTTATATGCAAGGTAAATTGTCGACACAATTCCATGAGTGTGCAGGTCTTAAATGTAATAAAGTCATATTTGTGATACATGGGACTATTTCTTGTGTGCTTTATTGGAAGTTAGCCATCAGATTGATTAATCACTTATTTGTTAACTTTTCTACTAATTGCGAGATTGCTAATGCAGTAAAATATTAAGGACATTCTGTAATTGTGACAGTTCCTATTTGTTACTTTAGCAAAGTGCATTATGTTAGCACCAGCTCCACTTGCTACGTGTGGCTGTTAGTGATATTAGGTGTGAATTCAAAACAGGCAAGAATGGGAGGTGAGGGAACCCTGGCACCGAGAAGAAAAACCAAAGCTCTGGGGAGACACAGCACAGAAGACAATGCATCCTTATAATATAACATTAAATAAAGCCAGCATTGATGAATTTAACATCTAGCTTTTCTTTCTGTCACTCTATATTAAGGCAAGGATGGGGGGAGATCAGTAGCATATGGTATTTTCTATACTAGCTATATTCCCAGAATAAACTTGCATTTGGATGCCTGGATTTTAAAGAACAAACTGTGGTGAACACAAGGCAGACCCATACCTTTTTCCATTCATGGCTTGCTTTCACTAGATCAGGATAACCGTACTCTGCCTGCACAGTGGGTAAAAAGCAGCAAGCATCGTAAATACAAGCATGGAGAATAGTTAGGATAAATATTTTATTTCCATGTAACAGCTCTTAAGATGTGAAAAACACAAGTAATTCTATTCACATATACACTTTACTTAAACTTTTGTAATAAATTACATCCAAGAAATTCAGCAGTTGTGACCAGGAAATATGAAATTAAAAGTAAATAGAACACTACCATTTGCATTTTATTATTACTTCTTTGTGTGATTTCAGAATGGAATAGCAAAATTCACACAAAAACAGAATATGTAAATAATAATTAAAAAAACCAACCTCAAAAATGCTGAACGAAAAATGAAGAATGCCATTAAATACGCTGATTTATTAGTATCAAGGAAACTATTCAGATGAAATTTCTGATTTTCCTTTGATCAGCAACTTATTAAAAACACCAGCAGTCTCTGTCCAGGAACAAATTGTGTTGCCTTGCTATGCTAGACTCACCTCACCACAACTGGATTGCTACAACTACAGTAACAAAACACTTTATTCTTAATGTAGCTTCTCTAAATTTACACATACAATTGTATTAAACTAAACTTTTGTTTGGGGTGGGGGGGGGAAGCAGCACAATTTGCATCATATGAAATTGGATTATGCTAAGCAGAATCTGATAAGAGAACAAGCTGCGGTCCAAAAATAGCATTAGAAGCAATGCTTTCTGTTATGTCCATCTGATTTAGCCTAATTTTGGCACAAGAGCAGCTGGCGTAATGTTACTGTTTGAAGTAGAAGGCATATGGAGATGGAAAGCCCAGATTCTCACACTGCAGTCATTGAACAATGACAGCTTGTGCAGATGCGTGGGGTGCATTTCTCAGGCCCGGCCCTGCCGAAGATGACCCTCTTCAGTTTCTACTGGTGCTGTGGTTTGCTGCCTGTGCAGGTGCTTGCTTACCCAAGTGTGCACTGACAAACTATAGACCTCTTTCCAGATGCAACACTGGTGTTGTTTGTGCTGTGTTAACCCCCCAGGGCTGGTGTTCCATGCAAATCCTGTCTGCTACCTCCACGTGGATGGCAGTTGTCGATGTCCCCTTAACCTTTAGAGCTCTGCATTTACAGCAGGAATAATGCTATCTGTTCTACCTCACCGAGATGACTAGGTAAAAAAACTCCATTAGAAAAGTGTACTCTACCAAAGGACTGGGATTATTTTCTTCAGCACTCCCTAGTACTCCCTACAGGTGCCATCCAGGGGACCAGTTTTTGTCATCTGATGAACCAGCGGCAGCTAGCATGGGCTGAAGCATCCCGTAAGCAAACTTGCGTGGATCAGATGTGGAGAAATGGGAACCCTTCAGATGGTGGGCTGTAAGTCCCACCATTCCAGACCATTTGGCTACACTGCCTGGGGCTGATGGGAGTTTAAGTCTAACACCACCAGGTAAGCAACAAGTTAGGGTTAAAGCCATTTCCAAGTTGCCTTCATAAAACGGAACCATGTTCCATTCGGCTCTGGGAATTTGTTGCCTGCTTATGCACACATGCACACACACACACAAGGCCATGAAATTCACCAACCAGATGAGAGAAAGACACAGTCTTCTGCACACGTGAATGAGCTCTGGCCCATGTGAGCTGCCAATACACTTCGTAGAAGAGCCTGGTTTCACATGTGCAAGAGCTTTGAGTGCAGTACAAGCTGAATGGGGTCTTCAAGGGATTTTCACTCCCCACTAATCTTGCACAGAATTCCCACTATAGTTCTGCTGCTACAAGCTGAGTAGAGCCATGCACATGACTGCAGAAGCCAGCTAAGGATTAGGTTAGGCAACCTTGAAGGTACAAAAAGCAGCCTTTCTGAGATCTGCAGCAATTCCCTCGACACGGAAAGCCCAAAGGAATTTGTTCCTGGTATTCAAAAGCACTGGTGCATTTATAAGATCTGATTTTGTGTGGAATAACCAATCAGCACCCCTCCAACAAAAACAAGCAGCCTGTTAAAAACTAAAGACATATCAAAAGATATCTATAATACTGTCCCGCTTTTATTCCACCTTCTCCCACCCTTGCCCGCAGCCCACTCTACGCTTCTCTCCCAGGGAAGCACAGTGGGATGGCCAGTTACCTAGTTTTATAAAGATGCAGACAGTCTGCTCTGCCCTGTCCACATTCTACTCCAGCAGGAATACCTGTGCACACAGTCATGGGGGCAAGCCAGATCTACAGAGGGGAAGTGTGATTGACTACTCCACTGAAGGCAAGGGATGGGTGCCTTGCTGCCCCCTGGCTCTCTGTGTCAATAGCTAAAACTGGCCAAGGGTAGGCTCCACTGAGTCCTACTGGTATCCTTTCCCAGCATATGAAGCTGCATGTGGGAGAGGAGATGGATCCTGCCCAGGGTTTGATCTTGCTTTTTGGCTAATAATACAAATTTTAGGACCATAATAAAATCTACACAGTCTATTTTTTTATTTAAAAAACGTCTTCATTCCAAACATATGGAAATGCATGCCTTTTGTATAGAAATTTAGCTAAACAACTAACAAAGGCCAAGTTCCTTTTTTCTTTTGGCAAAACGGGCTTTATGCCAATAACCCTGCCCTCTGGAAATTAGGGTCAGAACTCCCAGTCACTTCAATGGGATCATGATATCAAAGTTAACTGACAGCGGCAGACAATTCAGCCAAGTTTGGAGCACATTACAGTCCAGTTGATATGAACGGAAGAGTTAAACAGACTCCTTGCTCTTCCCCTGAAATCAATATGACTTATAAGTGCTTAACTTTGCCTAGACTTTTGTCTAGAATTTACTGGAGAGAAAAAAGCAATTTTTAAATTAATAATAATAATAATAATAATAATACTAGCATGCATTTCATGACCGAATGAAAAGAACCCCCTAGCAAAAATATAGGTAGGATTTATCTCTGGATAAACTCAATACCTGCCTATGACTAGACAAGTGCCTAACATCGCATAGGAATTGAAGGGCAAGTATTCAGAGGTGTCAGGCAATGGCCCAAAGACCATCCTTGATGAGGGAGTGGAAATCTTACTGCCCATCTCTGTAAGGAATTATAATACAGTAAGCTAGGGAAAAAAAGTGGATTATTTACCACCACAATGCAGCTGTTGGACTAACCACTGCAACATTTAGTACAGTACAGTATAAGATATTGTAATAACAGCTTGCATTCACAACAAATACTGTATGGATATTGCACATCGATGGATGTGGCATTCCCCGTCCCCCGTCCCCACAAGATGAGAGCATGTTAACGATATCCTATATAACTTTATATATTATATTACTTTATCTTTACATATAAATTTAAATATTAAATATCCAGTATTAAATCAAGGAAAAATTGCACAAATATAGGGTCCGATCCTGAAAGTCACACACGCATACACACCCACACACATACACCCACGCACACATACATACATACATACAAGCCATGACTTTTAACGGAGTAGGGGCGGGACTTCATTCTTCTGGTTAAAGAGTTTGCAGGGTTGAGCCATTTCTCGTTTAAAAATAACTCTCAAAGCTAACATTTCTTTTGTTATCTCTCCTCAAATAGCTGGCTGAAAGCTAAGCTATAAAAAGAACAGGATGGGGCTGGGGGGGGAGCTGTTTTCAAGTTTGTTTGTCTGCTCAGATGGAGAAGCTATGAAAATATGTTGCACGGGCAAAGAAGGAAAATGCAGTCCAACAGATAGAGAGAGAGAGAAAAGTTTGAAAGGAGACACTGTTCACTTCTTGAATGGATGACATAGGTTGAATCAGCTGGATTCCCCCCCCCCCCGCCCCACAAGCATGGAGGGTACAGGATTCTCTCACTGGCTAGAGTTAATTTCTGCGCAGATTAGGGCCCGGGCGAAAAGCAGACAGCGAACCAAAGCACATATTGCACTACTTACATTACCAGTGCTACTTTGGGATGAAAGACAGGTTGTACAACGAAAGGATCAAATCGCGTACAGGTTTATGATTGTGGCACTCCTCACATCTGTTTATAAAAATAAACTGAAGAGCAAGTCATAGACAAGTCTCGCGGTCCACACCTTTCCCTGAGTCAGCTTTCTTCTCTTTTCGGCTTTCAGTGCTAGGTTGGAGGGGGGGTGGGAAGGAGAAAAAAAGAGGAAAAGTCTTGTTGTTGCACAGTGCCACTCATCACATTTGCTTTTTTAAAATAATGGAGGGGGGGCTGGGGAAGGATCCACCACTCAAGCCATACTGTTTGCCTTAGCTTTTCATGCTGCCATGTACAGCCTGGGGGAGTGAGAGCAGAAATGCCACTGTTAGGTATGCATGTATGGTCATGGAGAAGGCTGGCCAACATCATAGATCAACAGGAAGGCAAAGTAGAGAAGAACAACAACAACAGAGATACCAAACGCAAGATTGATTGGACATACGAATCTGTGAGCATGCAAGCAAGAGAGA